ATTTGTGAAAATTCATGTTGGTTCTCGTTTTCAGCACACATTTTAGAAGTCACATCCACTTTCTATGAGGGATTTTTGTCCCCCTGGTTACTAAAAATAGTAACTAAAGGTCGAAACACCGAAGCCGAAACCTATAGTGGCTGACGGCACAGATACCCCAGCGACTGAATAGTTCTTAATTGTGCTTGAGTCACCTAATATTTTTCATGGGCCTTTTACAGTAACCTTCTCTTAATCTCGAAATTCTACCAACAATTCAAAAACTTTGCCGACTGTATCTTGAACTGAATAATTGAGCAGTTCTTCTTCATTAATATTCAATACACATCAACATGTACACTTGACCTAATTAGTCTAGCTTAGGTTCCCTGTGGTATAGGAATACTTATAACCAACATGAAATGGCTATTAATGGTCCTCTAGGAAGAACGGTTTATATATAGACCTCACAAGTTAGATAAAGTTAGTTTTTTAGTCGAAAACACGATCTTAATGCGCTTTACTTTGTGAAAAAATGAAACGTGCTTAGCGCTTGGACCATCTGTTTCTTCGTGTATAAATATAGAATATATTTTCATAAACTCTCATCTGTATGTGTCTCTATTCTCTCAAGTTGTTTATAAACAAAGTTCGTTTAATTAAGGTTTCCTTTTGCTAGTATCACCGGGCCGCTGGCTCATAGTGAATTGTCATTACTTCATTACTTATAACGTCAAGAAAGAACAGTTAATTGGAATTGCTAGACCAATCATTGCATGTCTGTCTCAAGAAAGTTATAGTTGATATATATAGTTTGGGTTTCCTGCCGTAGTAACACTGGCCCCATTAATGAAATGTTCTTTCTTTATTTCCTTTCTGAACTTTTTTTTAGCCTTAAAAGGCTTTTCAGTTTAGATAAAGTTGGTGCAATTAATTATGAACAGTTTTAGCCTAACACGTGATCGACTTTTGTGCTTGACTCAGCGGTACGATGAAAGTTAACGTGTTTTCGCTTGAGTAAACTGTTTTCTCTCGTGTATAATTGAATATTTTTAAGTGATTATGATGTTTTGAACTCCGCCAAATGCCGACATAAGTGCCTGCTTTAAATAATAAATGTATTATGTTGTCATGCATTATACTGTAACAGTCGATGGCAATGGAGCTGAAGTATTTCATCAACCTCATACTCATATCTGCTGTGAACGTGTTGTTCTTTTTCTCAGGAATATGTTTAAATTCCTTGGTCATACTCAGTTTCTGGCGGTCTGCGCAACTTCGAAAAAAGTTATGTTATTTCATGATAATGGTATTGGCCTGTTGCGATTTGCTTGTGGTTGTAACTGGTCATCCATTTGTGACTCTTCTCGCGATCATCTGGTTAACTGGAAAGTGTGACGTATACCCCAGCTGGGTGGTCATTCCCAGAAGGTTAACATACATTTTCCTTTTTCCTTCTTTGTTCGCACTTTTGGTGATGAATTTTGATCGATATTTGGCGACATATTATCCTATCTTTCACCGAACGTCGGTAACGAAGAGAAGACTTTTAACTCTTCTTGCAATACTGAATATTGTCGGACTTACTTTGGCATTGATGAATGTAAACGAACTTATTTCCTATGACGTTCTTGTTCTAATACTTGGTATGATTCTCTTCCCCCCAATGTTGTTCATCAACTACAAATTGTTTACAATCGCCAGGAAAAGTCGTAGAAACAACGGAACTTTACCCGAGATGAAAAAATCGTTTTCTTGGAAAAATATATCGATTTGTTTGCTGGCAGTCACTTGTCTTGCGGTACTGTCCATTCCAGTGTTCGTCTATATTGGACTAAGGATAACCTCGAAAGATGTATTCACATTGGATAATGCAAATATTGCAACACTCTGGAGTAACACCTTTATCTCAATGAATTCAACATTTAACTGCTTAATCTTTTACTGGAAAAACAAGATTTTACGCATGGAGGGAATGAAGATACTCAAGAAACTCAATCTCAGAGCCAGAGACTCAGTCTAATTATGACCAGTTGAGTGCCATATGTATCCGTGAATATAACTGGAGTGCTAACTTAGTTAATTGCCGAAATGAACCGAAGCCAAATATGGCGAACTGTTGTTTTGATAATGTAGTGTTCTCTTTGCAGGGGCGGCGCTAGAGGGGGTGTAGGGGTGGAACACCCCAGTCGTCAGGTAGTCGGCAAATTATTGCATCCCAGTCGGCAAAACATGAATTGGATAGGAAGGAAAAAACTAAAATATTGGAGTGAAACTGATCAAAAACTAATAATTATAGCTCAGAAAAACAAAATGAGTAATGCTACGTCAACCGAAAAGATAATGAGAAATGTAAAGTCCGTTTTTGTCCCCCAATTTTGGGAATAGAAATATTAATTAGAGAAAAAATGTAGTATGAAGTAGTGGAAATGACTCGGCAAATTTCACTTACATCCTCCCATTCAAATAGGGATAGCGTCGCCCCTGCCTCTTCGTTGTGACGTTCTTGTAGCATCTATTCGAATATTGTGCTAAATGAATGTTAATTCTTACTTGTTTCAAGAAGCATTTACTAATACTATAATAGAGCTAAATAAATGCTTCTTTGGAAGACATTCTGGGCAGCTATCCTCCAAACTCATAGGATTCGATAAATGCTTCTTACTTGTTTAACTGAATAGAATACTATTTGGGATTAATTTTCCTGGTTATTGAACAGCTTCAAGAGAGAGCCGCGAGTTAAACTCATAACGGGAATTCTGTATTGATATATAATTAACTAAATTCATTTGTTTTTAGCCACAATCGTTGACAAAAACCTTTGGGCAGCAGGGCATGTGGCACCTCTTAACCCCCTTAGTGAAAATAAAGATGGGTTCTCGATCAAGATTAAATGTAAATAACAACACAATATTACTGATTTTCCTGTAAAAGTATTCGTGTGTAAAGTAGTTGCTTTCTGCCTTATTTGGAAACCAAAATAGCAATTGCTTTGCCATATGATTGTCGAGAAATTAATTGGATTGTTCAGCTTAGTACACGCTTCATTAATATTCAATACACGTCAGCATGTACACTTGACCTAGTTAGTCTAGCTTAGGTTCCCTCTGGTATAGGAATATTAACCAACATGAAATGGCCTTTTAATGGCCCTCTAGGAAGAACGGTTTAGACCTCGCAAGTCAGATAAATTTAGTTTTTTAGTCGAACACACAATCTTAATGTGCTTTACTTTGTGAAAAATGTCTCATTTGCATGTGTCTCTCTGCTCTTAAGTTGTTTTCCAAAACTGCAAACTAGATACAATGCCGAAACAGGTGTTTAAGTAAACTGCAGAAAACGCTCATAGCTAATACAATGAATCAATTTTGCCCACATACGGGGCTATAGACTCTTCCAGATCCGTGTGTCCACTCTATGACAAGTAGTTTTAGAACGTTGTTCTGAATATTTCAGAACCCTCTATAGATGACTTCCCATAAAAAATGCAGACATTAACTGCCTGCTTTAAATAATAAATGTTATGTTGTCACGCAATACCGTTGCAACAGTCGATGGCAATGGAGCTACAGTATTAAATCAAACTGGCCCCATTAGTGAAATGTCGTTACTGAACCTTTAGGGCTTTCAATATAAAGAACGTTAGTGCATGTAGTTAATTATGAATTTATGTTTTATGGCCTAACACACGGTCGACTTTTGTGCTTGAATCAACATCATGCAAGAGGAAAATTAACGTGCTTATCGCTTGAGTAAACTGTTTTCTCTCGTGTATAATTATCTCGTGTGAAAAGTATATTTAAATGATTATGATGTTTTGAACCCAGGGAAATTAGTATAGATGACGCTCTTTAAGTGGCTCCACATCGAGCGAGCTGAAAAATTGCTTGCCGCGCGCTGGGAATTGAACCCGTGACCTGTGTTGGTTCGATGCCCATCGCGGTTAAGCAAGTTTTCAACAATCTAAAATATTTTGAGATTATTGCAAAACCTTTATGTATATATCTCGTCCTACTCTCAAGCTGGTTTTCAAAACTTCGAACTAATTATGGCGAAACAGGTGTTGATAATTAAACTACTGAAAAAGCTCGCACAGATACTATAATCTTCCAGAGCCGTGAATGTGTCCACTCCATCGTACATATTTCCAGAACAGTGCTCTAAATGTTTCATAACCGAAAATGAAGTGGCCTGTTAAAGTACAGATAGCATAAATAAAATGCCTGCTTTAAATAATAAATGTATTATGTTGTTATTCAATATACTGTAACAGTCGATGGCAATGGAGCTGAAGTATTTCATCAACCTGATATTCATATTTGCTGTGAACGTGTTGTTCTTTTTCTCAGGAATATGTTTAAATTCCTTGGTTATACTCACTTTCTGGAGGTCTGCTCAACTTCGAAAAAAGTTATGTTACTTTATGATAATGGTTTTAGCCTGTTGCGATTTGCTTGTGGTTGTAACTATATAATCATCCGTTTGTGACTTTTCGCGTGATGATCTGGTTTACTGAAAAGTTGGACGCATACCCCAGCTGGGTGGAAATTCCCGTAAGGTTAACACACGTTTGCTTCGGTGTTTCTTTGTTCTGTCTTTTGGTGATGAATTTTGATCGATATTTGGCGACATATTATCCTATCTTTCATCGAACAACGGTAACAAAGGGAAAACTTTTAACTCTTCTTGCAATACTGATTATTGTCCAACTTGCTTTGATGTTGATGAATATAAACGAACTTATTTCCTACGACGTTTTTCTTCTAATAACTATTATTATTATCATTCCTCCAATCTTGTTCATCAACTACAAATTGTTTACAATCGCCAGGAAGAGTCGTAGAAACAACGGAATGTCAGCCGAGATGAAAAAATCGTTTTCTTTGAAAAATATATCGATTTGCTTGCTATCAGTCGCTTGTCTTGTGGTGTTCAGTATTCCAGTGGTCGTCTACATTGGAATATACACAATTTCGAACGATATATTCATATTGAATAATCAACGCATTTTAGCACTCTGGAGTAATACCATATTCTCGATGAATTCGACATTTAACTGCTTAATCTTTTACTGGAAAAACAAGATTTTACGCACGGAGGGAATGAAGATACACAAGGGACTCAAACTCAGAGGCTCGGTCTAATTATGACCAGTTGAGCGCCATATATCCGTGAATATAACTGGAGTACTAACTTCAGTTAATTGCCAAAAATGGCAAACTGTTGTTTTGATAATGTAGTGTTCTCTTCGCAGGGGCGGCGCTAGAGGAGGGGGTGGGGGTGGAACACCCCGTCAGGTAGTCGGCAAATTATTGTATCCCAGTCGGCAAATTGTTTTCCCAGTCGGCAAAACATGAATCGGATAGGAAAAGAAAAAACTAAAATATTGTAGTGAAACTGATCTAAAAATAATAATTATAGCTCAGATTTGGGGGAATTTACGGAAACATTAAGGAACAACTAAATGAGCAATGGTATACGTGAACCCAAATGATAATGAGAAACATAAAGTCCGTTTTTCCATGTTCAAATGGTTCTAATGGTTCGCCCCTAATGTACTTTACTTTGTAAAAAAATGAAACGTGTTTATAGCGCTTGGACCATCTGTTTCTTCGTGTATAAATATATAGAATATATTTTGATAACAAACTCTTATTTGTATGTGTCTCTCTGCTATCAAGTTGTTTTCCAAAACTGCAAACTAAGAAGAATGCCGAGACAGGTGTTTAAGTAAACTGCAGAAAACGCTCGTACAATGTATTGATTTTGGTCACATGCGGGACTATATACTTTTCCAGATCCGTATGTCCAATATATGACAAGTAGTTTCAGAATGGTGTATACGAATATTTAAGAACCCTGTGGATGACTTTGCATAAAAAATGCAGACATTAACTGCCTGCTTTAAATAATAAATGTTATGTTGTCACGCAATACTGTTGCAACAGTCGATGGCAATGAAGCTTGATTATATCAAACTGGCCCCATTAACGAAATGTCGTTAATGAACCTTTAGGGCTTTTTAAGAAAATTAGTGCATGTATAGTTAATTATGAACAGTTTTGTAGCCTGATCGACTTTTGTGCTTGACTCAGCAGTGCGATCGATGAAAGTTAACGTGCATATCGCTTGAGTTAACTGTTTTTCTCGTGTATAATTAAAATAGATTTAAATGATTATGATGTTTTGAACTTAGGCAAATTAGTGTAGATGACGCTCTTTAAGTGGCTCCACATAGGACGAGCTGAAAAATTGCTTGCTGCGCTGGGAATTGAACCCATGTCGGTTCGCTACATCGATACCCATCGCGATTAAGCAAGTTTTCAACTATCTAAAATATTTTGAAATTAATGCAAAACCTTCATGTGTATGTCTCGTCCTACTCTGTTTTTCAAAATTTCGAACTAATTATGTCGAAACAGGTGTTTATAAGTATAAACTACCGAAAACGCTCGCACAATGTATCGTTTTTGCCTGCACGCGATACTAGAATCTTCCAGAGCCGTGCATGTGTGCACTCCATACATATTTCCAAAACAGTGCTCTAAATGTTTCATAACCGAAAATGAAGAGACCTGTTAAAGTACGGATATAGCATTTCCCTAGCATATGAATAAATATAAATAAATTAAATGCAGACATTAAATGCCTGCTTTAAATAGTAAATATATTATGTTGTCACGCAATATACTGTAACAGTCGATGGCAATGGAGCTCATCTATTTCATCAACCTGATATTCATATCTGCTGTGAACGTGTTGTTCTTTTTCTCAGGAATATGTTTAAATTCCGTTGTCATACTCACTTTCTGGCGATCTGTGCAACTACGAAAAAAGTTGTGTTATTTCATGATAATGGTTTTGGCCTGTTGCGATTTGCTTGTGATTTTAACTAGTCATCCAGTTCTGACTCTTCTCGCGATCATCTGGTTGACTGAAAAGTTGGGAGTATACCCCATCTGGGTGGTGATTCCCGGAAGGTTGGTACAAATTTTCTATGGTCTTTCTTTGGTCGCTCTTTTGGTGATGAATTTTGATCGATATTTGGCGACATATTATCCTATCTTTCATCGAACATCGGTAACAAAGGGAAAACTTTTAACTCTTCTTGCGATACTTATGATTGTCGAACTTACTTTTGGATTGTTGAATGTATTCGAACTTATTTCCAATGACGTTGTTGTTCTAATAGTTAATATGATTTTCTTTCCTCCAATGTTGTTCATCAACTACAAATTGTTTACAATCGCCAGGAAAAGTCGAAGAAACAACGGAATATCACCCGAGATGAAAAAATCGTTTTCTTTGAAATATATATCGATTTGCTTGCTGGCAGTCGCTTGTCTTGCGGTGCTAAGCATTCCATTGTTCGTCTATATTGGACTAAGGTTAACCTCGAAAGATTTATTCACATCAGATAATGCAAATATTGCAACACTCTGGAGTAGCACCTTATTCTCATTGAATTCAACATTTAATTGCTTAATCTTTTACTGGAAAAACAAGATTTTACGCACGGAGGGAATGAAGATACTCAAGAAACTCAAACTCAGAGCCTGAGTTTAATTATGACCAGTTGAGCGCCATATATCCGTGAATATAACTGGAGTACTAACTTCAGTTAATTGCCCAAATGAACCGAAGCCAAAAATGGCGAACTGTTGTTTTGATAATGTAGTTTTCTCTTCGCAGAGGTGGCGCTAGAGGGAGAGGGGGTGTTAGAACATCCCCAGTCGTCAGGTAGTCGGCAAATTGTTGCATCCCAGTCGGGATATCTAAAATATCTAAATGAAACTGATTAAAAACTTTGGGAATAGAAATACTAATTAGAAAAAAAATTTCCCCATTCAAATAGGGATAGCTGTGCCCCTGTTTCTTCGTTGTGAAATAGATAGTTTTAAATTGTTGTTGGTTGTCTTGCTATAGATAGCTGACGTTCTTGATTCGAATATTGTGCTAAATGAATATTAATTCTTACTTGTTTAAAGAAGCATTTACTAATACTATAATAGAGCTAAATAAATGCTTCTTGCTTGTTTAACTAACTAAATAGAATATTATTTGGGATTAATTTTCCTGGTTATTGAACAGCTTCTAGAGAGAGCCGCGGGTTAAACTCATAACGGGAATTCTGTATTGATATATAATTAACTAAATTCATTTGTTTTTAGCTACAATCGTTGACAAAAACCTTTGGGCAGTATAGGGCATCTGGCACCCTCTGAACCCCCATGCTTCCTTAACAATGTTGTGTTTGGTATTGTATCATAAATTGGCAGTGGAACACGTTTTCAATGAAAACATTATGTCATACAGCAACATTGCTTAGGGGGAGGGGGTATATTTGGCTATTTATGATCTTAATTTGGAATCATTGAATTTTTGACAATGTTTTCCGAATTGCCCAAACACGTTTTGTCAATGATTGTACTTCGTTTAGTTATCCTTTAACTTTGAATCTAGTATTTAACCTTGGCACTTGTAAACCAATGGATATGATTCAGTTCTACTGCAAAATTGGTATATTCAAAAAAAAGTATTAAACGGTATATTAAACTAGAATGAGGACGGTAGTTTGATAGAATTGTAGTTGATTTTCTTTTTGACCGCGAGCTTTTACCACGAGCTTTTACCACCCCGCGTCACTTTATCCTCAATGCATGGGTAACAGCCAGATTTCTAAATTGAGAAATACGGGCGATACCCAACAAGGATGATCATCTGACCCATCCGATATAGTGCCTTAAAGTGGCACTCGCATCAAAATTTTTATTTTCTTAAACGAAAATACTCTTTAAACTGTATAGTAACTTGTTTTGAAGATTTTTGTTCCCACGCTTAGTTCTTGAGATATTTCATTTTGTTTGTAACCATGTGACGTCATTTACTCAATTACATATATAATGAGATATCAATAATTGTTGTGTATCTTTGCTATATTTTTGATGGACTTGTTTAAAAAAACAATATGCTTAATAATGTAGGTTAAATTAACAAACGCGCCCTATCTTTCGAAAGATTTTGATAAAAAATAGCAAAGATACACAACAATTACTGATATCTCATTATATATGTAATTGAGTAAATGACGTCACATGGTTACAAACAAAATGAAATATCTCAAGAACTAAGCATGGGAACAAAAATCTTCAAAACAACTTACTATAAAGTTTTAAGACTATTTTCGTTTAAGAAAATAAAAATTTTGACGCGAGTGCCACTTTAATTTGAACCCTAATCTAACCCCGACCCTAACCTCTAGCCTTAATCTAACCTTAGTCTGACCCTACAGGGTATATGCAACATAATGAACATGGAAAGTTCTGTTATTTATTTTTGGTTCCAGCAATTTTTCAATTAGTGTTTTCTGAAGAAAGGGCTTGACTTGAAATAAAAGATTCTGATATACAGAAGGTATTTAATGTTAGACCACATATTAAGTAATCGTACAGATTACTAAAGTCATTAGCATATCATTTCAACACTACAGTTGCAAATGAGAACTTTCCAGGTTACGATTTCCCCTCCCCCAACAAGGGAAGGCTCAGCCCTCTTACCCCTTTGACCCCCCTCTTCTACACCTCTGGTTTTATATCTTCAAGTTAGTGCTAGTAGTATTAGGAGTAACACGTATGTGGGGCCACCTGCTCTTTGCAGTGTACAATGAAATATTAAAAAGTATTTTTATTTCTATGTCTCACCCCGCTCTTTAGTTGTTTTCCTAAACTGCAAACTAATAACTTCTGAAACAGATGTTTATAACTTATGTACTTTGTATATAACTTACAAATATGACATAGATTTTAAAGCGAGGAGACGTCGAAAACCATTGCATGAGGAAAAAGAAAAGCATGCAATAGACATTTCCCATTATAGACTAATTTTTTAACTTGGAAAAAGTATATGACCGGAAAGAGCATACTAAAATGAGTAAAATTGCAAAGTTTGGTTGCGAAATGTTGTAAAATGTGGAAAATATAGCCTTGCAAAGTTCGCAAATTTTATACTTTTGTATATTGCGTGCGGAAATTGCTACCACATTCGGGCTTTGCAATTTTACTCATTTTAGTATCTCTTTGCCTATAGTTTTAAAATTAGTCTATAATGGGAATTGTCTATTAAAAGGATGAAAAAGCTATCATGTGCTTACAAAAACGGAAATCATTTAGTATTTGTAAGAACTGAGATATTGATTTCGATCGGGCGAGAGGTTTTGCATTCAATTTTGCACTCAATGTATTTCACTCAATGTATTTCATATCATGCAAGAATTTATTTGTGGCTCGTTTAGAATCTCTAGTTAGTTATAGATAGCTTGAATTCGTATTTAGGTTAATTATGGAGCATCTTAATGGACTATAGTTTTTGTTAGGAACTATTCCTATTGTTTACTTACATTATCCATCAAGCAACAGTTGTTTCCAGTTTGAGTGAAACAACATATACTACTATCTCGAAGTGACCGGACAAGGATTATAGGTTTTGGATTAGCGTTGGGATTAATATTAGGAGTAGGATTAAGAGTTAGGGTTAGTAGTGGGATTACGATTTCACTATACTTGTAAATTGAAATTCCTAAATAATATGGAAATTATCCCAAACAATTTAGACCTGAGACCAAATTGTAAATTTTTCACATTTGAAGAACAGTATACAGGTATAGCCACTTTAGCGTGAGTCTTATATCATCAACATGTGTACAAAAGACAATGTTTAGTGTTTAATAAAATATTAATGAAAGTGTTCTCATGGATATGAACTATTTATATAATTATGTCACATACTTCAGGAATGTTATTCTAACCATATCATGCATCTGCTGTCTACACTTGTGGTTCAGTTCTTCAGAAGAGGAGGTCAATTCATATATAAGTCAATTCACGCGATGGAATTCAATCATTTCATCAACCTGATATTCATACTGGTTGTGAATGTATTGTTCTTTTTCTCAGGAATATGTTTAAATTCCGTAGTCATAGTCAGTTTCTGGCGATCTGTGCAACTCCGAAAGAAATCATGTTATTTTATGATAATGCTTTTGTCCTGTTGCGATTTGCTAGCGGTTTTAACTAATCATCCATTGTTGGCTCTTATCGCGATGATATGGTTGACTGCGAAGTTGCATGTGTACCCTAGTTGGGTGAATATTTCCTTATACTTTTCAAATATCTTCCTTGGTTTTTCTTTACTCGTTCTTTTGGTCATGAATTTTGATCGATATTTGGCGACATATTATCCTATATTTCATCGAACATCGGTAACGAAGGGAAAGCTTTTAACTCTTCTGGCAATACTAATTAGTGTTGAACTTACTTTGGGGCTGATGACTGTAAACAACTTTGTTATTTCCCAGCAAGTTAGTCTTCTGATATTTTTTGTTCTTGTCTTTCCTCCAATGTTATTCATTAACTGCAAATTGTTTACAGTCACCAGGAAAAGACGTAGAAACAACGGAATATCACCCGAAATGAAAAAGAAGTTTTCTTTGAAAAATATATCGAGTTGCTTGCTAGCAGTCGCTTGTTTTGTGGTGCTATCCATTCCAACGTTCGTCTACATTGGGCTAAGAATAATCTCAAAAGATCCATCGACATTGGATACTGCACACATTGTAGGACTCTGGGCTAAAACCATAACCTTAATGAATTCGACGTTTAACTGTTTAATCTTTTACTGGAAAAACAAGATTTTACGCACCGAGGGAATGAAAGTTATCAAAGGCATGAAAGTATGTCGACGAATCCGATCCCAATCTGACCATTAAGATTTTGTAACAACTTTCAACTTTTGAAGGAATTCTATGTATGCATCTTGACTGTAGACTTTTGACCTTTTTTACTGATGGTTCATATCTTACAATATCCTGGTGACTGCAGTGAATGTGATGTAAACGTTCTTAAACCTACACCACTGGTGATAACATATGTGATAGCAAGTTGAAGAAAAGGCAAATTTAAGAAAAGAAACAAAATATATATTTGGCTGTGAGGGGTGAAGAAGGGAAGGTTTAAGGGTGGTCCTTACTGAACTTCGAGCGAGAAAGTTTGGAACTGATAGAACTATCCTCTATAAAGTTAATTTAGTTTAAGACTGTGCACCATGCCCTAATGAATGGTCCTTATGTACCATAGACCATATGTAATGTAGTTTAGAACTGTTGGAGGCATCTAGTGTGAATAATTTTAAGTTTATAGCCAAACGCATGATCTTGTATAATTAAAAATTAAACGAGACTTACCTGGTAAGTTGAAGTTTGATTGGAATTCTACAAGTCATCAGTCAGGAACGGAGGAATTACATGAGAGAGCGCGCGCGAGCTATCTAGGCAATATTCAACGTAATCGTGAGTGTGAACAGGAGCATGGAACGGAGGAATTGGGACGGGAGGGAATCAGCTTGCCTGATCCAGGGCATGTAATTCCTCCGTTCCTGACTGATGACTTGTAGAATTCCAATCAAACTTCAACTTACCAGGGAAGTCTCGTTTAATTTTTAATTCTACTACGTCATCAGTCTACGTCACTACGGAATTACATGAGATTTCAAAGTCCTGTTCACACACACGCCAATGAGTAGATCAGTCAATGGTTTACGAAGTAACTAAACCATGATATCATCTACTAAAAAACGAGCCGACATGATCACATCTGCGCAAGGGCAGATACAAAAAAGGGAATCATTTGATTGTGAGGTTGGGCTAACCTCTTCTGTCTACAAGAAATGCTAGTAGTAGTAGACTCCAAATAAATAAAGGTAAAGATAATTTTCTCATGATTCTTTTTAAATTCCCTTAAATTAAATGCATTGCCATCAAGAAGCAATGAACAATTGTTGCCATAAGATTGCAAACCCGTACCCAGGCTGTTCCCTGGTACCGATACGACTCACAATTCCTTTACCATGCATAAGACGGTATATTTCTTTGTATTAAGCATACAGCCTGCAGTGTATCTCTAGGCTGTCATAAAGCCAAAAGTTTCCAATATAAGTGCCATTGGCATCGAGGAGTTTATAACTCAAGGACGAAAGAACTTTTATACTCTTCCTGAATTGAAAACCTGGTTGCAGTAACTTACACTAATTTTGAAATGAATATTTTTTCTGATGTCACACGACATCTTTGCAAATTATATATAAGGTCATTACAGTATCATGAGACCGTTATGCAATAAACGCTGAACTGACCATTGAAACCTCAACGTTGACTAATATCACGTAACCAACACAGCAAATATCACTGATTATTAGATTACATTGATATCGAAGGAACTAGACTCAGTTCCATACTCGAACCAACCTGACCGCGCAGCTCAATTGGCAGAGCATTGGGCTAGTATTCCAAAGGTCGTAGGTTCGATTCCCACTGTGGCCAGGCATATTTTTCAAGCCTGCCCAATGTCTCACAGTAACATCACAAGCATCATGAAACTGATATAAGGATTAAGGGTTCTATATGACACAAATTAATGTATATATAGTTAAGCAAAAATATGCATTTGTTCCATAGCTCCGTCGTTATTATAAATCAGAAGCTGATGATAGATAGAAATAATTCTGTACAATGAAAAGGAAGACAAATGTGCCCAAATAGATACTGATTAGTACATTATGATTCTGAGTGCATGATTCATATAACATCGATGTTCTATAAGTCTAGCAATTTCAAATACATGTGTCATATATTGTATATTATCACCCCTCTCAATATTATGGTCCCATGGCCAATTTGTGTACTGAAGTCTGTGTAATAATTAAGTGTAGTATGCCGCTCGCTGCCGATGGCATTTGGACATACAGTCATACCGTTAAAGGCCATAAGGCTTCGAAGTGAAGGCGGTGAGCATATAGTCATAACCACAACTATTTTTATTTGGAGAGTATATTCCTTAATATTTCTGTGGCACGAAATATGTGTTAAATGCACAAGAAATTCGCCAAAAAGGACTGGTTGATCAGTGTTGTTCTGTGACTGTGTGGGGTATCATAGAAACGTTTACATCCGAAACTTACAATAGGTGAAGGGAAAAGATCTTGGGCCGTTACAACAGTAACAACACTAACATTATTGTAGAGATATCCCGTTGAAACAATCAGGGGACATTGTTATTTGGCTTCAATTGCATATTAACGCGAGAATCAAAGCAACATTCGAAAATAAATTTCGGTCAGTTGCATGTTTTCCTGAGTCAGGGTGCATGGTATATTGGTCCGCAAAGTTTCTCGCTGTGCCCTTTCTACATACATTTAGATGGTAACCACATGACTGACAAGAATTGTCCCTTGTATTGAATTCCTCTTATTTTATTATAGCCATATGCAATGCCAATGGGGTTAAATAGCCAGTAAATATAACATGCATATTGCATTCGAGTGACAGCCGATTCGTCAGTTTTGAATTTTGTAACTGTTATTGTTGTTATCAGACCATTTAAAATTCATCATAACCATTACTCATTAGCACGTATACCGACGGTATAGTCGAGTTTACCAAGACTGAATAGTATCTCATCACAGGCATTGCTATTTGGTAATTGGTCTTTGTATTGTCCTGTGAAGGAATGAATGTCATTCTATAAATGCAATGTTTGTCCTGCAGTCCAGAACAACAGTGATTGCAGTAGATGGACTATGTCTATTATATATGACATATGTACAAGGTGTTTAGCCTATGGCCATGCATATTAAACAGATAATGATTTACAAAATAGGATAGTGCAACTTCCCAATGCCAATGGTGTGTTGTTATTGTTATATGAAACATTGTCATTGAGTACCAGACCGCTCTACTGTTCCAGTCTGGCCTGATTTGTTTGGCTTGAAGCGGAGATTGGGTATATTTCCATACATAATGACCAGTGAATATTCTACACTGCTGTTCTTAAATTCAAGGCATAGCAAATTACTAATCTTTATTCTTTAATACAAATTGCTTTGGCTATACAAAAAGCCCCCAAGAGGTTAAGATAATGATGTCCAATTTTGTTCTCAGGGAACAAGATTAGCCTCCATGCAGATTTGCAGACATTAACCACACCTTCAATTCTAATCAGGAATTGAAATCTGATCCCAGTAATGCTAATGCATGGTTAAATAAGCAGGTACAAACTGTACAATTCAGTAAATTTCTCATTGGCCTGGTCAAGTTGTTTGTTTCATGGTTTAAAACATAGCCACTGCCCCACTGGCATGATTAGCATTTCAGATTTTCACTGCCAGTATTCCCACTTGGGAAAAAGATAATAACCTACTTCAGTCTAGTGACTAATCAGGTTACTATACTGAGATAGTAAAAAGGGGCTATAATTGCTATAGCATGCATGATGTATACTATTCCCACAAACTGTACCAAGCTGTACAGTGACAGCATTTATGCCAGAAGTGAGGAGTTGATATACCAGCCAATACCAAAATTACTGATATTATCAGTAAACTAGGCTGACTAGCTTTAGTCTTGCGGTGGAAGAACAATTGGAATGAACATTGTACTATTGTGTTCTGACTTCACATTCGAATGAGCAAATATTCATTGTAGGTTGTAGTGCTACATGTCATGTGATAGCCATCATCCCTGCTGTTGTTGCATCACAGGAAGTGACCAATCAAGTTAAAACTGGTCTGCATTCAGGTCTAGTTTCAACGGTTTTGCTGGCATTTAGCTATGCTATTATATTTATTGTATCACACAAGATAAAACTTTAAAAAGTTTCACAGTTGTTTATTTCTTCTGTGGTTCTCGTAACATGTACTGATGTACTTCCATGTTTAAATCTCGTGCGTAGCACGTGAATAAATTACTGGCAAAGCACTGGCAATTTCCCGCCAAGTAAACAAAGTAAAATGTTCGCCCAGGATAAACTCGAGTATAAAGTATAATAAAAGTGCAAATAAAATGTCGTTCAATCTGAACGCTTTGCACCAATAAACGACATTATAATATTATTGTAGATTTCATTAGGTAAAGCACAGTGGGTAAAGACTAAAGTGATCATTTAATGTATGTGTATATACATGCCATGGACTATATCCACACGGCACACGCCACAATTCACAAATGACATTTTTATGTCGTTGACATTGGAAAAATCCAATCAGTTTCTGCGTTACAGTTGTGTGCAATAAAATAATGGACTAGCTTCCTAGCTGTGTGAAAAAGCATTAGCTTTTCGGTCCAATAAGCACAATATTGTCTGCTATAATTGTGGACATACATGCCATGAGGCATGACCTTGACGTGGCGCCCATGCAGCACAACAATGGCGTCTCTCGGTACTTTCCCAAGTTGCTGAAGCAACAATGTGGTCGTTGATCATGTGTACCTTTTGCCTTTACTCGTTAGGCTTTGGACAGGGTAGTTGGCGTCCTGTTTCTTGGTTTTATAGGCCTTTCCACAGCCATTGTCTTCTTGCTTCATTGCCCGTTTAATTGGCTTTGTATGGCCGTTGTTGGCCTCGTCAGATATTTTGCCCGTTGGGCTTTATATGGCCGTTGGCCTCATATGCCTTAATAAGGCTTTAGTTTCCCTTGCTCATCTTAGGAGCGGTCTGTATAGACTATAGGTAGCTTTTCCCCATTGTGGGTGTACTGGGTTGCTTGTATTTGCCGCTCAACTCTGGAGCACAAGCGTGAATTTTGTTTGTGGCTGCCCGCCATTGCAGGTCATCATTTATATATTTATTGCCCATTTGATTCGTTTTTCCCTAAACGAGAATAAGAAACAAAACAACAAAATAGCAAAATAACAAAACAATATACTCCCTGTTTGCCTTGTGCAAAAATTATGTTCAACAAACCGATGATGATGAACGATTCTTTACGATTTACTCGCATAAATTTCTTCACGTTGTTTATGCCCAGAAAGACGCAAGCACAAATTGCCTAGATAGCTCGCGCGCGCTCTCTCATGTAATTCCGTAGTGACGTAGACTGATGACGTAGTAGAATTAAATCATACGGCACATTCAAGATTTTAATATCGTATTTCAGCCGCGTTTATACTGTTTGGCACATTCGCTGCGTTATATTCATTTATATGCACAGAAAAGCATGTCATTGTTTGCAGACCATAGGCCGAAGCATTTGTCAACCACATACCAAATTTAAGCAATCGTTAATTTAAATCATATTCATGTCATGGAAAGAATATGGAAATAATGTTGAATGAAAGCTAGCATCGCGCCATCGTGTATATGCGCGTATAATGGCGAAAGCACCGTGTATAATGCTAAAAGCACCCAACAAAATGCCGTTTGATCACTTTAAGCCAGCTATGGCTTTCCACAAAAGAAGACCAAAGATGAAAGATGATCGCATTGCTTGCTTACTTAAAATTCACTGCTACCGTCATGCAATGCGCCAAATAGAAAATTTTGATTTCGACCCACAAAACAAAATTAGGATCTGCTGCCTTGCTCGCTCGCTTCAGGCTCGCTCGCTGCGGCAGCAATAAAGCAAAAAATTAAAGCTTATTCATGTCAAAACGAAAGCTGTTTACAAAATTTATAAAGGTGGTGAACACTACTAAAGAGTGCTCATTGAAAGACATGTATAATATAGTGACATATAATTTGTCGTTTGACTTATCTTTGGTGTATGATTTTAATACGGTAGATTTTCAACTGACAGCTATACTTTGACATATACCATGATCGTTGGTTTCAGCAATGCCAAGGGCCAATTTTATAGTCTTTTGACGGGCTTTAAGTTTTTTTGGGCCTTTATATAGATCAACAATCTAGATACAGTTGGCGATATTTCGGAAATCAAAAGATCTCGCTATTTCGTTGCAATTCCATATCTCATCAATAAATAAATTCTTTTCGTCCGAGTATCAGGATAGACTTTAATACTAAATAAATAACAACCACACTGTTCGGTCTGGAGATATATATTTTCTTGTAGGTTTAATATTGCCACGCTGCACAAGCGGCAAGCCGCCGCAAGCGTGCTTTCTTTGGTAAGTCTATAATGAAATCTGATCCAACTTGCTTGAATTGTAACTCGACACCAGATTATAGAGTAGAACGTCAAGATATAAATATTAATTTAATTTAAGAGTTCTCTTTACGATTTCTTGTTGAAAATTTACAGTAAATTTCATCACCAAAAGTTGCAATTTTAAAACGCTACAAACACGCTCCTTTCCCACCCCTCTCACAGTTACAATTAAATTTACCTCCCAGAATCTGGGAGGCACGTGACCAGCCGCAGCCAGGGTCTCTCCCAGATGACAGAAGGAGCAACCCTGTGAACGAGGTTGGTGAATCACCTACTAAAAATTCCTTGCACGTGCTCGGAATTTGTTGGTTGTTGTCGGTTCTCTCATGATCGACTGTTTGCTAGGCTTTATCTCTGGTTTTATGCGCCCACTAAAGACCAAAATACTATCGTTCGAATCAGTGTGAAAAGTTGTATTTACGGATGTCAAATGTATTACTAAACAACAGTATTCTAGCGATTTATGGCCTTTGAAAGACAAGCGAAATTGTATTGTTGACAAATCGCTCAAAATTATTAAACTATAATTAAAAATGCAGTCCGTTTGATCCTTGATAATTTCGGAATTGTTGGTTTTCTCGTTTTCGGCCGTATACCAGTGGATTTGTCTCACTTTTCTCCTCAATTTGATAGTATTTTGAGCCAAACTATATTTTATTTCGAAGGCTTTAAAACGCAGTTTTGATCCTAACGTACGGACCAACTGGCGGCCAACAGGAGAATGTGGCTAAATATAACTTTACTTGACTTGTGCATGTAGGCGGAAACGCAGAAAGTTTTATTTGTAAGCGGGGCCAGCGGGCACCGCATTTTAGTATTGTGTCTGGTTTTTATTGCATTCGGATTTAAAGCATTATATTTTTCTTATTTTCGAATTTAAAGTTCAAGAAATTTACTACTATTGTAAATGGTGCCGGACCAATCTCGTTCCCCGAGCCTGCAATCCTCGGGAAGGAACCGAAGGCTCTGGGATAATCCGTTTCAGGGAGGAATCTGATTGGCCGTTGATATGGAATGGAATGTAGCAATAGAACGAAAATTAATTATTAATCGTATAATTTTATAACAACATGGCTGCCGTTTAGGAGTGCGTTATTAATATTGTTTTTGGATTTCAGCGACGATTTCAGTGCAATTTTAGCAGTGCTAAGGTAAAATTATCTTCTATAATTGTACATGGAAAATATAAAGAAACGTTGTATTTTTCACAATAGTAAAATAGGGCGTGAAACTTTATATAAATTTGTCATTCGTGTTGTAAAATACACCGAGCTATTTGCCTATTTTTATACTAAACTATATGCCTTACAAGTTATATTTTGGAATTATCTTCCTCCATAAGCAACTTTCCCTTAATTGCTAAATAATGATCTCACACTGGCAATTTTTATTATAATTTTTGTAGTCTGCATGCTTGTGCTATAATTGTATTGCAATGGTACAAATTCATAATAAATATATTAGCAATATTTTAATATTGCTTCCATTGAACTGCATTCCAATATAATTTCCAAAGAAAAAATGCACTGTAAGCTTCTTAGAAACAATAGCTTTGTAACAAATATGGCAGGGCCAGGCTCACATATTGATTTGTTTTTGTTCCCCAGATCAAATTTGGCTATTCTGAATAAAATTGCTGGTATCAGAGCACTCTTTGGTAAACAACAGCACATGGATTGTTCCCAAGAGACACAGACATACTGTATGCATGGTCTTTCAAGTAAAATCCTAGTCAATCAATATATGATCTGGAAAAGTCTTGTTCTATCTCTTTGTCCATGTTTGTGAAAACTTGTGCACAGCCAAGATGCCCAATGGCATCATCTTGTTGAATCACTTACCTGCAGTCTATTGAAAGATTAATTAAGCAAAACTTCAAAAGATTTGTGTGCAGTGAAACTGTCTCAACATAAAATTCATTATAGACAGATTAAAGTTTGCCAGGTTAATATTGGCAATATAAGTATACACTAGTGAGATGGCTTAGGGAGTGGTCATTATTTATGGGGAGTGTCGGAGGGGGGGGGTAAATGGGGGAAATAAGAATTGAAAACGTTTTTGCCCCCACCCTCCAGACTGAAGGCAAACTTTTTGTGCCTCTCCCCTCATAAAAGTAGAAACTTTTCTGACCCCCCCCCCAGTGTGGATTGAAAAATTAACAGCAATGAAACAGATGTGCGTTGCAGGTAAAGTTAGATATTAGGACAATCTGTTTAATCTAGCTCATGATGTTTTACCCTGGTGAATATTATTCAACCATATATGATTAACAAAATATATATCATGTGTTACTACTTCGCAATGCAACATTTGTCCTACCATAAACCTAACCCATGGCCCGTCCTTCATAACTTGTCTGGGGGGTGGGCATCTACAAAAGGGACCATACTATATTGAGTGTGGAGAAATGACACATGGTTTTTGGTGACAAAAAGTTTGGTGTGGTATTGTATGTACTAGTAGGGGTGTCAGGGAGTGTTCTCCCCCAGAAATTGTTTTGTATTTTTCCACCCTTAGAACTGAAATGTGAGCATTTTCTGAAACAGATTTTTGGATATACAGTGTTACATAATTGTGATTTGATAGACCGAATCTGATCAGTTAAGTGCACTTGCATGGTATGTTTATGTAAATATCACCTACTGGGTCACTCAGGGGGTAGGAAGCTTGTTAAACTTAGTGGGCCCAATTCCCACGATCGTGAGGCGCTACCATGGTTGAGAGCAGGAAAATTTTGAGTCTCTTTTTCATTGGAAATAGCATTTTCAGAGTCTTCTTTTTTGCTATTTGTGATTATAGAAATCAGAACTCTAGACATGGTATTTAAGTTCAAAAACTTTTTTGACCCCCCCCCCCTTTCTCTGTGTTAAAACTTTTTTGACCCCCCTCCCTATTTATAAGGGTAAAACTTTGTTTGCTCCCCCTCCCCCCATAAATAATGACCACTCCCTAAAATAAACCTCCAGGCTTATAAATAAATGTTTTGCAATAATGATGAACATGTAATGGTAATAGTGGTTTAATTAATATGCAAATTATTTGTAATTTTATTGTATGTAAAATTTGCTTGGCAGTGTCACACACCCTCTGGAACACCTTCCCCCTGAATTTTTGGCACCCCTCCAGTGCAATATCTGAAAATCTGTTTGGTTCAAGGGCATGCTCCCCCAGGACATTTTGTAATCTGAGACCTTTCAATCCCCAGAAATGCAATCAAATTTGCTAGCTGAATAAAAAATAAGTCATAGCTCATAAGAATATGAACAAGGCATTGTAGGAATATTAAAATGTGTTTGCTTATATATGTAGCATTTGTGGCATTAAAATATTCATCCTTTTATGTATTGCTAAAATTGTGACAAAATTATCGTATAAGTCAGACGTTATGTGTGGCACACTTTACCGCCCCCTACATTTTTTCAACGGAATTGAGAATCTCCCAAACGTGGTCATAAGGCAGATTGAGGGGAGGGGGTTTTGCGCCCCCTCCCCCCAATGTACCCCGTGATTACGCCTATGCCATCCATATGACAGAGATTTATTTGGGAAAATTGTATATTTTTGTAATATTGTTTGCCAAATTCTTCAAATTAAAATATTTCAGTTGGTGTAAATGATGCCCTCTTGTCCGACATTTTTCTTTAGTTATCTTATCTTCAATACACAACGTTTGTGTGGGAAGAGATTATTTCGGTGGCCTCAGAATGACAAAACGCAAGAAAGCAACGTTTTTACTAACACGAAGCTTACTCGAAACACCAATTCTAACCCGTATCCTAACACTAACTTAACCCTACTCCAAATTTGTTTCTAAACCAATCTTGAAGAAATTTAAAAAGTTTTGACGAAATGTCATTCTGAGGTCAACGAAATAGTCGATGCCGTTTGTGTGTGGTTTTCATAAACAATAACCGCAAAAAGAAATTTTATAATGTAGGTGAGACCGATTATATAAACAAATATTGGGCGATAACATGAAGGAATTAGCTAAATTACTGTCAATCAACCTTGTTACCGCACTGTGTTTAACATATTGCACCGCGCAATGCAATTTAGTTTTTGCACGCATCTACCCGAGTTTTAAATTAAAAGCAAATATCATGGCGTCGTGTACTCCAAAGAAATCTGTGTCTGACAAAATTTTGAATTTATGTCGTTGCTGCAATTGTGATAATGCACGTCGTGTTCCTCTCTATGGTGACAAATCTAAAGAGGAAGGTCTAGTCAAAATGATTGTTCGCTTTGCGCAATTAGACATTTCTGAAAATGATAATTTTTCTAAATGGGTTTGCCGCTCTTGCGCAATGAGGATCAGTGCATTAAAAAAGAAAATAAACGAATTTAAGAGTCTTTGTATAGAGACGATGAAAAAGCAAAAAGAAGAATTAGAAAGCGCAAGAATGAAAAGAGGCAGAAAAGACTGTGAAGTCCAAAAACTTCTTCCCAAGTTGCTTCTCTTAACGTGCCCAAGCGGTCCAGAGTATCCGAACATCGCGCGGCGCGTTCGTTATCCGGAATGTTTCAGTCAATCGCCCCAAAGCCTTTATGCACTCAATCGCAATGCAGTAGTTCCGTTCAGTTAACTCCCTCACAGCCAGATTCAAATTCAGATCAACAGAAAACTTTACCAGCGTCGTATCCAAAAACTAGTCAAACCACTGCGAGCAGGCTAAAGTCAGCAGACTCGGAAGAGGTTACCGAAGAGGTTTCTCTTTTATCTACTTGTGGATTGCAAGCACTCAAGGTAACGAAAGCATTTCTATTCAATTAGAAATCAAATCGGTTACATTTTTCATCACAGATAACATATTTAATGAACGTATTAATTTTCACTTTATTTTCATGTCATATTCCTTTGTTCACGCATGAAATTTGATATTTTTCCCACAGAATGATGCCAATGTAACTTCCACTCTTAATTCAACGCAAAAAAACAAACTGATAGATGAAATTGTAAAAGGATCTCCTACGTACTTGGCTAGGACTATAATGGAAATTCCCGAGTTAAAGAAATGTGTGATTGTTTTGTTCCTCGACGACATCAGCGAGAAATGCAAAAAACTTTGCGTGATAACTAAATCGCCTTCTGTATTACGTGTTTCGCGGGAGCAACAGAGAAACCTTGCCGATTTTAAATGGATTACTGTTCTACGTGAAATGAAGGAACGAGTGCCCGAAGTACTGAATATTTTAATGGCAATAGCGGTACCTCGTATAAAAAATGACAGTTCACAAGTGCCTCCATTATGTACTGCATTTGGAATATTGATGCATACACGTAACAGGGAGTTGTCTCTAGTTCAGAAACTAAACACGGTTGTCATCGGAGCAGGACATGCCACAAAAAAGGTATGGATTGCAGTTTCTTTCCTAAGAGCTTTATATAATACAATAAGTGGTGTAGCTCTTTCCTAAGAGCTTTATATAATACAATAAGTGGTGTAGCCATAATACAATAAGTGGTGTAGCCATCCCCCCAATGACCAAAGCTAAAATCCGGGCAGACAGGCTAAAATCCGGGCATATATTGGTGGGGGGAGTACGATATACAATTTCCGATGTATAATCTTCGGATTTCTGTATAATCTCACCCCAAAAATCCTTACATAATCGCATTTTCAGGTGAAGCATGCCCCAGGACCCTAATCACTTTCACGACGTGGGCGTTCACTTCGCCCCCTCCCCCCCCCCAAAAAAAAAGTCTTGGCTACGCCACCAAATATAATAATGACAATTGATTCTTCAATTAATTCAGGTGTTTATTTAACTGGAGTTCCCAAACGCGCTACAACAATACATTCACAAGATTGCTTATCGGAAGATTTTAATTGTGCGCATCGCGTGTTTATGTAGCAACATATTACAACTGCATGCCTGCGGGCAGGTTCGGTGAACGGGCCTGACTGGTTTAACGCCTTGTTTTCCACTTCACACCATATCGTACTGAATCGTGATAAGGGAGTGGTCATTATGGGGGGAGTTGGTAATTGGGGAAAATAGGGATTAAAAACTTTTATGACCACCCCCCCCCCCAGACTGAAGGCAAACGTTCTGTGCCTCCCCCTCATAAAAGTAGAACTTTTCTGAGCCCCCCAGTGTGGATTGAAATATTAAATATGGTGACAAAAAGTTTGGTGTGGTATCGTATGTACTAGTAGGGGGGTCTGGGGGTATTGTTCCTCAGAAAATATTTTGTATTTTTCCACTCCTAGGACTGAAATGTGAGCATTTTCTGAAACAGATTTTTGGATATACATTTACATTGTGCTTTGATAGACCAAATCTGATCAGTTAAGTGTACTTGCATGGTATGTAGATACCACAACTGGGTCACACAGGGGGTAGGAAACTTGACTTAGTGTGCACGACTCCCACAGTCCCACGAGGCGCTACCATGGTCGGCGCTGAGCAGGGAAAGTTTTGAAAAGTTTGAGTCTCTAGATCGTTGGAAATAGACTTTTAAATTAAAAGACTTTAAGAAAAGGTCTGTGTTATTCATCTATTAGATATCTAAGCGTTCGTGTCTTTCGTCGTCAACGACATTATCAGAGATAGAGATGTGGTTAGGATAGGTGTTATATATACAGTGTGAATAACTATTTTCCACAATACAATTATTTTAATATGTTACGGAAGGACAACTTTATGGCGAATATAACCTTACTTGACGTATTTACATTCGCGTGGCACTATTTTCGTCGTCTCAAATTGGCGCAATTTAAATTGGCGCACCCTCAATGCGATACTTTCGCGCAGTTTTAATTTCGCACACATTCAAACAATATAATATATAAGCAACGCCAAATGTAACTGTCACGACGAATCTGATAACTGAAACGTTATTTAGAATAATTACAAAAAAAACAACAGGAAAATGATTCTTTTCTATCCTGTATTGCCCCATCTCCTAATCACAACCTGAAAACATCGATGTGTTTATGTTCCTTTCTATCTTGTCATTATCTGTAGAATTTTTGCAATACACAACTATACATATGCACGTCAATTATGTTTTGCGCCTATAAGTTTAATTAGAATTTTGACCTGGAAAGGACTATTATTTCGGTGATAATTAACTTATCAATTACTTTTCGGTTGCTAACTTTCTTACAATTGTGAAATAGAAGGGTTTAAACATTGTTCGCTGAATGTTAACGAGCACAGTAGCTTTTACAATAGGCTTTTAAGTATTGTCTTACATTTACAGACTTTCCAGAGACTTGCGAAGCACGGAGTTACCCAGAGTAGAGAGAGTTTCAGAAATCTAATGGATGACGTTGGGGGAGATTTGATAAATGAAATGAAGCAGTTAGTGAAGACTGAAGGGAAACCACGAATGGTGTTTGACAACTTTGATTTCAAAATACTAGCAAACATAATCCTACCTAACCATCGCAATTCAGATATTCATTGGATTGGACAATTCATAACATTTGACAGGTTCCCTTCCGATCATTTGGACGATACCAAACCGCTAGTTAGTGATATCAAGTTGTTCAATAACAAGGAATACTTATTGACCGAAATGGAACTTCAGACAGTAAAGTCAAACTTTTGCACTCTTGTCATGAGGATATTGGTGGAATTCTTCCCATGTATGAAACCGTTAAAGAGTGTGGTCGTTGAGCATATACCGCACAGGTAACTCATATAGAACTGTTACCCAATCTCGTTCCCCGAACCTGCGATCCTCGGGAAGGAACGTGAGGCTCTGGAATAATCCGTTTCAGGGGAGGAATCTGATTGGCCGTTGATATGAAATGCACAGTTCAATCTTAGCTTATCTTAGCCAGGATTCCTGGCTTCCGGCAACGGATTATCCCAGAGCCTCACGTTCCTTCCCCTTCTGGGGCCGGTTGTATAAAAAAGTGATTAAAGTTAAATATAATTAAGTGGAAACGTCATCCAATAGAAGCGCCTATTTGAAAGTTAATCACTATTTAACTACAAAATAGTGATTAAGAGTTTTATACAACCGGCCCCAGAATGTGATATATACATCTTTTATGTTGAGGTGACAGGAAAACAGGTGCAATATGGTGTTTTGAGTAAAAAGTTAGAAATTTTGATTTCCAGCACCACATTGGTTTTAAATAATCAGCAATTGTGTTACTCGTCACGTGACTAAAATTAATTTTTATTTATGCCCAAAAGCAAAAATTTTTGCCTAAACCACAAGAAACATTTACAGAAACGTTCTTGCGTTGTAGATAATTAGTTCTATTAAGAACAAACAACATTAACCATCAGCAAACCAAATTTAGGTACCCGAACTCCATATTGGAAATCAAAAACTCAATGTAATTTGCTGATGCTAAATGTGACGAAACTTGGCATGCTCGGTAACAAATGATTTATTTACGTATTCCTTGTGGTTTCATTGCAAATATTTTCTTTTAAAGGAATATTGAGCATAAATTAAAATTTGATCTGGTTACGTGACCAGCCAGATATTTGCGGCTATTACCCCATACTTGCTTTAATTATATATATTTACTTATATCTCTATTGCGCTCATTTCGTAATTCATTTCGTAAGTCAGAAATATTTTTCATTTCATTTCACGGAACTTTAATTGATCACAGAAATTCTTGTTTACTGTAAAAGATACTTTAATTTCATTTGATGGAGTCAGTTTGACCGCGGTTTTCGATACAATAATCAATTGAAACTATTCACAAGCAAACCAGCAAGATGAAAATTGCTCGTACGGTCTGTTCCAATAAATCACAAGCGGGTATGCGCATATGTGCATGTGGTTTTAAATTTAAACTGCAACGAAAACGAGTATTAATAGGAATATAGTAATATGGTGGGTGATTTGATATGCTGCGAGTTTGTTTTTTTTTCATTATGTTGTTTGGAGTATCGGGATTATAATTATATAATTATAATTATATAATTAAAATTAAAAACATTTATTTATTCGGTGGAGCTTTTTATTACGTGATCTGTGCTTTTTCTGAATTTTACCAGCAACTTTTATTGATTCCTGTTTTTCCTCACTCATTTCATCAAAAAGGTACTCAAAGGAAATGTCAAAGAAGTCATGTATAGTAGGTATGCCAATCGTCCCGTACAATCAGACGAAGCATTCAGACGTTTGCCAATATTTAGAATATGTGGAGAACTTTCTAATGGACGTTTTCAAACCAGAGAACGAGCCAGATATACCGGATGAAAAGAAGGAAGAGAAAGCGAAGCAGAAAGATCGAATATTAAAGGGAATCAAGCTTCCACTTTGTGGTGATTTGCTGGGCCGTGAAAGGGTGACGGGAGCAAAGAAAACGCGGATGGGATGCGATTATGAAACGGAAAGGTTTGACAACATAATCGAAAATGTTGCTCAATGGCACACGAAGCAATCATTTTTGGGGGTAAGACCCACTTACATTGTGTATTGGCATCTATTTTATAAATTCCATTTGATGTTGGCAGGGCTGCCGAGAGTTTGCAATCTGAAACAAAACATTCCCAGGGACCCCTATGACGTCATAATTGATGACATTTAACTCAAATTTAGCAAATTAATGTAATTAACATTAAAGTAATTAACATTAACAAAATTTATTTAATCTTTGCAGTACATATGGGAGAAATTGTACAAAGCAACTCCAGTCTGTGGAAGAGAGGAAGGCACTCTCTACAATTTTAGACAGCAATTCAGTATGTGCAATGTGTACAAAGACGTGAAGAAGAACTATAAGAGCGCTGAACATCTTATGCTTTGCAGTACCAAGGCATACATATGCAGTGCTTTCATGACATGGGCAGGGCTGGAAAGTCTGGATGACAACCCTAGCCACTTAACCATCCCAACTACGCGCAGCACGAAAGTCCAAAAACAGGAATTTGTTGAATCACAGATTGGCAATTTTGTGGAGCAGTACGTTCTATCAGAATTTGATATTGAAAAAGTTCGGAGGGAAGAAATCCAGAAAGTAAAAGAAAGCCAAGAGCGACAGTCAAGAAATGGAAGTGCTCATCATGAGCAGACTTTCAATACAGGTAAGAGCATCTTCGCCTGCAGCCATTTGATCAGCAACGATTAGTTGTCCTACAGTCACACAATATCTACTTCAATGTAACTAGTAACGATTCTTTTAAAGACATTTATTAACCAAATCACGAACCTTCCCTAACCTAAAAGGGTACATAAGAGAGAAAATATTACAACTTATTAAATTAATATGTGTACAAAAAGACTAAAGTAACAGAAAAATTGTCGAATTTTGTTACATACAGTACTGTAGTTTGTATTGACTGATGATATGCCTGTTCACTACGTCGCTACGTTCATTAATGTCTTTTCTTCATCCAAGTTCATCCAGAAGGATCATGAGTCATGTTATGTTATACTAACTTAAAGATGGATCATCCTTCAGATGGGTGATGCGTCTTAACGGCTGATCTCTCTTTTGGTACAAATTGAGCCTATAATTATTGAGACTTGTTCGTTTCTTTTCCTATTTTAAATCTAATGATCCAAAAAATATATCGACTAAAACGCACAATTTACCAATTTGCTATCATGTTACTATCATAGGAGAGATCGTCATAATGGTATGTGCACGCGATGTAGCTCAAAGAGATTATCAGTACCTTGGTATGGGCAAAGTAGTTGAGTCTTCTGCATCTACTACAGATCAACCAACAGACAAAGTGTTACTAAAAGTCCTTGCAGTGGGAAATTCAGCATCAACACTTGTAAAAGTAGGACAAGTTGTTTTATGGCCTAAAACCAACCTCGCCCTACCACAGCAAAACTCCCAGTCCACATCTGGAAATGATGTTGATGAATTCGCCGATGAAAATACTGAGTCAGAACAACCTGCGAATGATGACCAATTTATGAACTATGCACTGCAATGTATTCAGTTGGGTATTATGCTAATGCAACTGAATGATACGGAGAAGGAAGGGGACGGTGAGCGATGTCTCATGAACTGGAAATTATTAATGCTGTACTTCAGATCGCGAAGTCGAGGCATGAAATATGCATTTGAAGCAATGCGATTGCTTACATGTACCAAAGCTTTATTCACTGAACAAATGGCTCATAGAATTATCCATGGACAGTTCATCAACGGAAAAGGAGGTTCTGGAAACAACTGTTCCAATGATTTAAAGATGGAAACGTTGGTAAAAGACTATAAAGTTATTTTAAAGGGATTGTGTGGAAACAAAACCTTAAAAGCGGTTCAGAGAAGCACTAATGCAGTATATGGATTGAAAAATGTGGTGGAGGCGGTTGACAAAGAAAGCAAAGTACCACCGGACTCTAGCAAACATACGCATGCCAGTTCTACCAAGATCATCCAGGAAATGATCAATGTATTAGAAAGAGTCAAACCTTTTCATGAACAACCTGGAAGGGTACTGCTTTCTTTTCCCAATGTTCCCAAAAGCCCACTTGAGAAATTAGATGTGACCGCATTGCACAACTGGTTAAGTCGCAACAAAAAAAAGCTATTTGAGAACGCATTTGCATCAAGTGATGATGCGGAAGATGATGCTCATGAAACAATCCAACAGGATGATGAAACAGATGATCAGCTTAGTGAAAGTGAAGAAGAAATGGCAGTTTTACTTGCCTAATATTAATAAACACCAGGGTGAGTTATAAAATATTGCATTACATTTGGATATTATTCTTCACTCTCCCCTTGACAGTAAAATTGTCTGGCATTATACAGATTGAGTAAAATAATAAAGTCTATTTATTATTTTACAGTTACTCTGTCTAGTGCCACACAATTTTACTAGCAGATGTGGGTTAATAAGGTTCTATGTTCTTGCAAAGCCTGGTTGTGCCACCTTGATAATAACCAATATTTAACCCATTATACACTTAGGTAGTTGCGATATTGAAAAAAAATCAATATATTGATACAAAAAAATAGAGATAACATAGACTACATTGAATTATGCAAATGAGAAAACATAATTTAGCTAATCAACTTGCATGTATATGCATCACAAACAGTTAAAAAGAAATGCATGAAACCAGTCATGGTACGTCTCAAACATTTATTAACAACAGTTTATTTGTCATCTCCAACTCAGCTTTTAATTTCAGTTGCCTACGCACTTATATCATAAATAAGTGTCTAAACTTCACCGACAAAAACAATAATTGCCGAATAACCAGAGATTAAGTTGATTAGTTACAACTTTCGATATTTATCAAAAATATTGATATATTGCAACTGCCTATATACTGGGTAAGCTTACACAAAACTCTTCATTTAATAACCGAGTAAAATTATATGGCCTTGAATTGCATCTTAATGGTTAAAAATATCAAGAATGATCAATATACCACAATTCTTGGATTTCATATGACGTCATAAATTTGACAGGAGGGGGAGGGTAACTTGAGACACAGTCATCAGAGTGAAATAATTGTTCACTGTAATGACTGTATGTGTTGGCCTTGTGTTTGGTGGCAAATACATGCAATTTTGTATCGTTTGCTCACTCCAATACAGCATAAACATGAATACATTTTAGGTTGACCCCCCCCCCTAGATTAACTGCAAAATGCTGTAGTGAAACCCAAGAATTGCCTGACATATACCCAGGCATATACAGTATGCCCATATGTCAATCTATATTGTATTATTAAGGAGTTTTAGCAGCGACTACAAGTACGACAGTATGAGATTTGTCAAGCGAAACACATGCTGTATGCTTATGCCATACCGTACTGACGCGAAAAAGTCATAGCTGTTGCCCATCTGAGTACAAAATTGTGGAGAAATCTCGTAGTCCTGACTACGACTTTTCAAAAAACAAAGAAAGCGCCATTTTTTTGTTTTTCAAAAATAATTTGCATGTAGCATTTATCCAGCACAAATAATCTATTAGTATTAAATATCTGGCTTGTTTTTAATGTTACGACTTATTTGCACATTTTGTAGGGGATTTTAGCCTGCAGGAGATTTAGTTTATATGGACTTTTTCTTTCGTTGTTTGTCCACAACTATAAAAGCAACATTTGAATGGAAATGAGAACGACTATGGTGATTTCCTCGCATGCGAGCAAATCTCGTACTCTCTGCTAAAGCTCCCTATTATCTAAGTTTGTGTTTATAATTTAAGAGTTTTTGATACTCCTTAAAATTTCAAAAATTACAGAAGCATGGTCATCATCAAATAATGGGAGTTTAGCTTTTACCTCATCAAGTGATGTCAGCTCACTAGCATAAGCAATAATTGTGTCAACAAGCTCCAAATTAACCCAGTAGATAATCCAACACTTCCAACACAACTCTTTCCATAGCCATGAAGGAACTGCTTGTAATTCAATAAGTATCCCTTTAGCAAATCTTTTTGCTCAGTTGTAAGAGAAAGAGATCTTTCTTCCACAGCTTCCATGTAGTCAGGATCATTAATAACAGATGGATCCAATACACCAGAATTAGCATTTTCTAACAATTCAGCAGCTGAACTCAAAACACAGTCATCACAGCTACATTTCTGTTGATGAAAATCACAGCAAGTATGCTCTGGTTTAATCCAATTTGCTACTTTGTAACCAAAGTAATCCAAAATTATTTCCCTTTTGCATTTATCTGCCACAGTTACAAGCTCTTTCATGTGGGGTGAAATGTTACGAGATGATGCTAAATCATATGAGTTGTAATATATTGTGGAAGATGCTGGAAGTCCATCTCGTCCACATCTACCAGCTTCTTGAAAATATTCCTCAATTGTACGAGGGACTCCAATATGAATAATCCTACGGATGTCATGGACATCGACACCAATACCAAACGCCACAGTGACAAATAGTAGCCTTAACTTGACCACTTACCAGATCCTGTATAATCCTTTCCCGTTCATGTTCCGGATATTGCGCATGAAACTGTGTGAATAGTCTGTTAGCTGAATGTTTGCTAGATTGTACTGGTTCATATTGCAAAGGCCCCATCATATTGCTTGCAAACAAAAAACATTCTCCAATAACTTGCAAGTTGCCATAAACTAATGTCAGAGGGAAATCCAACCGTTTTACTTTTAATTCTGCAATAAGAGGAGTTAATATAGGTTGAAGCTTATCATCCCCTCTATCAGGTCTTGGCAAAGAGCTGAAGAAGATATTAGGACGATCAGGGCTTATCTCAATATGTTTTGGATCGATCAATCCTAGACTGGTTGTAATATCCTTTTTCATCTGCAATGTGGCAGTTGCTGTCATTGCCAAAAATGGGATCTTGGGAAAAATACTTGTCAGCATACCAATTTTCGCATAACAAGGTCTAAAACTTTTCCTAAACAAGAAAAAGATATGTTAATGGTTAATAAGTCCAGCTGCAATGCACAATCATCATGCTTCCTACTCTTTTACCCATTGAGTCTGTGGAGTCTCTCCAAGGGTGCCCTGCTGGCTCCAGTCACAGAATAAGAAGGTATAGCAGAAGCGTAACTCTAGTCGTTTCCCTTATTGTTTTACATCCACGAAAATTTTAACTCGCTCACGCCAATCCATGTCATCCTGGCTAGTACAACCGGAAGTTTTTATTAGGTTTTGGTAGGTACAAAGTGCCAATTGTACTAGCCAGGATGGCGTGATTGATGAGGAATCGTTTGTAAAAACACGCGGACAAATACTTGCTTGAGTTACACTTCTGCTATACCTTCCTATTCTGTGCTCCAGTGCTCTAGAGACCTATGCTCGCCGGAAAGTCAGAGGGAGACAGCTTAATTTTAATTTCTTGACATACCCTCGATCAATAAAACTATAGGAAAAGTGAACTTTGAAACTTGCTATATAATAATTATAGTTCAGGCTCAATCTGAATGGGTTTTTTTACATGTTTTGCACCTCAACCATATTATAATTTAAAACTCAGTATTATATTAAAATAAAATTCTTACCATTCTTCCACTAGATGTGCTTCGTCAATCACAATAGCTTTAACAGAGTCTTGATATGACTTTGACTTCAAAATATTTTGAAAAATTTTCTTATCTTCCAATAAGGCTTCTGGGTGAGCAAATATTATCTGACTTGGATGAGCAATTTGATGATAAATTGAGCCCCTCTCCGACCGCATGCTGTGCTTTGGTGGCGTTGCTTCCCTGCTGGCCTTCAAAACACTAACATCCATGTGCTTTTTCAGTTTAGTAATCTGATCAACCATTAAGGCGTTTAATGGCGAAATAACAATTACTGAGTTACCAGTAGAATTCGTATTTTCACGACCCAAGTAGGCATCAAACACGAATGGAAGAAGCTGGTTGTATATGAGTGACTTTCCATAACCAGTAGGCAAGACGCAAAATGTGTCCTTCCGATCAACAACTACAGCCTTCACTGCTTCGTACTGACATTCCTTTAGCTCAATATTTTGCTTACCTAGTCGCTCTAACGCTTTCTCCAATCCGCTATGAAATAAATTAATACTTTCTGCAGACATTTTTAATTTTTTATATTTCAAAACCAAAACAATACTAAACCTTTACAAAACCAGAGAATACAAAACAATACTGTCTGACACATGCATGCGCAGTTCGGTCTTAGCCAGGATTCTTGGCTTCCGGCAACGGATTATCCCAGAGCCTTCGGTTCCTTCCCGAGGATCGCAGGCTTGGGGAACGAGATTGGTGCCGGACGGCTTTCCTAGCTGAACTGTAGCCTGCGTAGCAGGCGTTTAGCTGACGGGCGGGTACAAAGGAAATGCCTGCCCAAATGGCTATGACAAATTTGTTTTCTCCCATTAATTAGGATGATTGACGTTTTGTAATTAGCACCTTCACTCATTACTGCCATTTGCGTTCAAGCTTGCAGCGTGCGAATTTTTTCACATTTGTTTACGTTTTAAACGCAACGTTCCAGGGGGTAATCACACCCTTTTGACCAATGAAACTAATCGTTTGAAGCATGGAACTGTTATTATCAGTGACGTAATATATCACGTTTTGATTGGTGCTACGACATGTTTTGATTGAACAATAGCTACGTTTGTACGTTCGAAGAAAGCATTTGTGCATGTTTCAAGCGAGGTTTCAAATATCAATATTTAACTTTACAAACAATGGATACAGTTCAATTGCAAGTACAAATAGGGGAAACGAAGACGGTAATTTTTACTCCAGAACCAAATAATTACATTGATTTGGTTGATGTTATAAGGAAAGAAATTCCTAAAACGCGCACGATTGACTTTAGTCTCATGTATGAAAATGACGAAGGGGAGTATGTTGTTATGAACAGCCACGACCCATTATGTATACGTATTGCTTTTGCATCTGCAAAAACTATTCCCGGTACTGATGTACGGCGTTTAAAAATCCGGATATTTGAGGGATCTTCTCCTAGTGTCAAGGTTGTAGAAGCGGCAGAGAAAAACGACAGCACAGCCACAGGTGGAATTGCTTGCAGGGCCACCGAACGTCCACGTGAAGTGCAAGCCAAAAAGCGAATACGTCTCGAAAATAGGTTGCCAATTCCTTCTATGCCGACTCTAAATGACGATGAAGAATCTGAAACTGATAGCGATAATGATATTGCAGATCAAGTGGATACACACAGTGAGAAAACGCCACTCGAACGATATGTTGAAAAAACTGAATTGCAAATAAAATCGAAGTCGGATTTAATAGCGAGTTTAAAAGATAAGGAAAATAGCATTCAAACGAGAATCGAAAAGGTTAGATCAGATCCATCAGATGGCAAGATATGTCGAAATTGTCACATGCGCTTAGGTCATACATCACGATCATGTGATTTTGAAAAGTGTTCGTTAGTATTTAAATGCGGAGAAGAGAAATTCCAAGTCGGGGAATCAAATTTCAAGGAACTTAAAATCTCAATAAAAAAGCATGAAAGCGAACTGATTAAACTTAGAACTGAACTACAAAACAAAAAATCTGCCATCGCGACAAATAAAGACAGGATCAGTCACAGAAGAAGTCTACTTTATTAACGGTTCTAAGAACTGGACCTTGTTGAGAAAACACACATATTTAGTCGAGAAATATTGTAAAGACCACATGGGGGGCAAGATTCCAGCCAAGCAAGACGTAGGAGAACTTCTTTCAATAGCCTTGGAAGAAAATAATCCCACAATGGAATATCAATTGGCAAAACAAAGACAAAGTGCTCAGCGTAAACATGGAAATCCATTTAAACCTCATTTAGAACGACATGGCGTTCATTTTCGTAGTCCCCCTATGTGGCATGGAGAGGATTGTTCGTCAGCCACTGAAACCAAACCTTCGAGAGAGAATGTTTCACCCATTATTTTCACTGCCCCAAGTAACGCGAACGAAGAAAAAGAGCAATTGGCAATTGTTCTAAGAGAGAGCCTTCGACAAACTTCCCGCCTAATGGGAGAATTGCAACAACAACGCTCTTCTAGTTCGTCCACTATTACAACCAGTCAGAATTTGCCCATGACTCCGAACGACACACATTTACCAATGGATGATTCAGTCATGCCAGTTAATGTAAGTAATGCAACACCAGTAAGTTTGAACACCTCTTCGGGGGATGAAGAAGAGGCAGCAACATTACTTCTTAACTTGCGCGGACTTTCACATGAATGATAAACATTGTATTTGTAACTTCACATCAAGTTCATATTAATAAGTTCATATTGTTTGAATAAATTATTATTATTATTATATTTAATTTGTAAAGTACGTATTCGTAAAAAGAACCTCTCGTAGTGTGATGACTTGAAGTGGATAAGTTGCAGGTATAACAAGAGTCAAGCTGCAGACTGCTTAGAATGGGCATTATTGTTTGTATGGCGATAAATAATCGTCAAGTTGTCTATATGCTTGAATGTCTTGAAAAAAGCAGGACCTGTCAAGGTTGACTCGTGTTTAACTGTAGATCGTTCTATATACTGTTCTTGTTAAATTATTTATACTATGTATATTTGTGTTAAAGTATTAACTTTTTTGATTAGAGTAAAAATTTCAAATTTTGTTTATTAATACATGTATGTAGTGTAACACGCAGTGTGAGACAATTTTCATTGTAAGTATTAAATATACACATTTTTAACATAGCATGAATTTAGCTATAGTGTCCTTGACTTGAGAAAAAACGTTGGAATATCAAAACATCTTTTTATAGCCCCAGTGCAATAGTAAATAGGTCGACGCCCTGCATATGAATTATAGTATAGAAAATTGTGTCTACATAAACCGATATGTGAAAAGTGAACAGCTTTCTGACAACAAATTAAGTTTCATTTAAAGTAAGCTGGAAATTTACAATGTGTATAAAATGTGTGCCGGTCTATCTGTGTCATGTATGAGCTATCCACCGGATAGTAATTTTTAATTACAAGCTTAATTTCTTAACTTGGCCGTCAATTGTTATATCCCAATTAAACTATATAGTATATAAAGTTTCCTTTTAATTATTAATTGTGGTATCCATATTCGTAGTTTCATCACTTTTTAAGCATTTTACAATGGTTGAAAAAAATTACTATTCAGTGCGCAGTGGAGCGTTATACGGCATTCGTACAACCGGTCCCTGATAAAATATTTGTTTTCGCCTAACCTTTTGCGGTGAATAGTTTGTTTTAAAAAAGGTTCTCAAAACTGAACATACAATTCTCGATAACATACATATCATCAATGTGGGACTAGGTAACATCGAGTTGGATTCGAGTTCGAGTTCGAGTTGGGCTTCGAGTTGGACTTCGAGTTGGACTTCGAGTTAAACTTCGAGTTGGATATTTTTCTTTACTTTTCGGGAAAATGACAATTGTATTTCACCCAAAATTTTTGCTGCGGGGCGAGCGAACCTGAAGCAAATTTACACATATATATGGGGGAATTTTATCTTAAACCATTGTTTACCGCAGCTGTAGGCCTACATTGTGATCGTGCGCGATCGAAAATGCTCAGTAACTTTTTGTCGATTGTGCTTCCACAACACCTTGTAGTAATTTTGAGTTACAGATTACAGTTACAGATATTGCACCCCGCACACTCCCTATATCAGGGTTTTTCAGTGACTGGTTATATTAGGACCGGAACTGGCGTGAAGCAGACCGAGGTAGACTGTGAGCTTAGAAATGGCGCCTTAAGCAGCCGCTATTAGGCTGTTACCTCATTCATGATCTGCCCCCTGACCTGACATGGTTTCACAATTTTCAAATGTTGTAATAAATCTTTTTACAGAGATACCTTTTTCATATCATGTACTTCATTAATTGTTTGTGTTCTTAATTCGAAACAAAAGCACTCGTACCCTAATTTATTATATAGTAGACAGTGAGACACCGAAAAAATACACAGTGAGATATTTTCCATAACTAGATCTCCACTAGTGAAGATATCGATTAAGTGTTCATTTTCTTTGTTATTTTTACTATCGACTATATAATAAAAAGAACATTAAATACACGGTGTCTTGAAGTTTCATCTCGTGGTGAAAACTGAAACAATATATTTTACTCACTCAAATGTAAAATTTATATTTTCGCACCGCCTTTAGTCTGCGATAGCAGACTAACTCAGCCCCCCCCCCCCTCCGGCTCCCCTCTCCCACTGGAGCTGCGGAGAAACAGCAGAATAATCTCAGAGGCAGTGCCATTCTTGTACCCAGAGCCCTTCTTACGTGCGGTCAACGGAGCGCGACAAGGGGCTCTGGCCAAATCCATATCAAACTGGCATCTGATAGGCTACAACGAAGGTTATTGTTCTAATACCGGATATATTCTATTACCATGTTTTTATGATATCCGGTTATGGATTTGGCCCGAGCCCCTCGTCGCACCGCGCGTAAGAAGGGCTCTGGGTACGAGAATGAGGCAGTGCTGATCAGTCTGCTATCGCATGCTACACCCTGTCTCCGTACCCAGGCGTTTCTTTGTAAAAAAACAGCGATGCGCATATGACGAGTTCACATGAAGTATTGTAGTACTACACCGCCGTCTAACATCCTCTATATAGTACTCTCCTTGACCTTTCAAGACTAATAATGCAACATATCCTCACACGTAGTATTAGGGAGGCTGGACGTGCAGGGGCGGGAATATTAAAAAAGGTAGTCATTTTTAGATTAGGATTGATTAGAGCCAGATTAAGATTAAACCAGGGTTAGGGTTAGAGATTAGAGTGGGGGTTGGGTGAGGGTTAGGGTTCAACTTAATATAAGGCATATCCTTAATCTTTAGAAACTTTTACAATTAAGGATAATCCCTAATACCACGTGTGACGATATGCAGAATAGTACTGATAGTTTCGAATACATATTTCGAACGAAACAATACTTAAAATGTATACAAATTTTAATATATTCTTTTCCAAAATACACATAGTAATTACTGTATAAGATGTACTACAAAGTGCATTATAAAAACGATTTACAATAAAGTAAATTTACATTGCTACGTTTCATTCTCCATACTTTTATAAACGTAATAACACGTGTTTGAAGTTGCGAAGAAGTAAACATGAATCGGAATTGTTCGGAAATTACCAAAACATTCGGAAACGCCAGTGTATAAGTACCTCGAAGTTTAACTCGAACTCGAATCCAACTCGATGTTTCGGGATTCCCGTCAGTCCGTCACGAACATAACTAGCTCACTGCATGAGCTGTTTTTCTGTTTGTGTTTTCCTATATAGTATAAAATAGCGTTCCTTATATTAAAATGAAAAAAGTTAATTAAATTGAATTTACCTTTAAATACGTTTCTCACTTCGTCGTGTTGTTCATCGATGTATTTCAGATAGCAAAATTGGCAATTGAGAGTTCAATTAAAACAAAGAAATAAACAGGTAAATGTTTCACAAGTCAGAAATGAATGGCTATTAAAGCGATAATATATTCTGGTGGTCGTAAACAAATTTAACAAACGGCGCGTTTTACATTCATAGGGAGACGTGCATGTTAATTCGCCATATCCATGGTTTTTTTCGCGGTTCATCCTTGTGGGCAAGTCTACTGAGTCACAATAGACAATTCCCATTATAGACTAATTTTAAAACTAGCCAAGGAGATGCAAATAAATAACCTCAGCTAAGACGAGCGTACTAAAATTACGGTAAAATTACAAAATTTGGTTTTCGAAATGTTGTAAAATGCGAAAAACAGTAGGCTTGCAAAGTTCGCAAATTTTGTATACTTTTATATTGCGTGCGGAAACTGTTACCACACTAATTTCAGTAATTTGGGCAAAAAATGGTAGCAATTTCCGCATGCAAAAAAAGTATACAAAATTTGTATGCCAGCTTTTCAGTGGGCAAGTATAATTTGTTCGTTTTGTACGATTGCAAAAGAAAACTTGTGTAGAAAAGTACTTCTATGGGGGGCCTATTATAAGCGGGAATTCTTTCCGCAAACCGCGCAATTTTTTTTCAGTTGTTCCGTCAATCGCCCGTCATTTTGTTGCATAACGGTGACCGCCATTTTTTCCACACAAAGCAATAAAGACCATCCATTTTCTATACGAAACATAATCCAGCATTCAAAAATGCCATGAAGGACGGATAGCTTATGAGCCCTTATGAAAGGGTACTGAATTATCTAACCGTAATCCGCCATTAAACTTGCCTAACAACCGAAAACCGTGCGATAATTTTAAAAGTCGCGAAATTTCGCCTCCGCTAGATAAAAACCGCTACAAAAATCGATACTTTTCCGTAATCCGACTCAAAATAGGCTGAAACCGCTTAACCGCCAAACTATAATAGGCCTCCCCTATGGTTTTGGCAAACAAAAGGTGGCCTTGACGCGGGATATGAATGTTCAACTAACAAAAATCCGCGCACAACAATACTTGTTTCAAACATTAAAGTTTCACGTTATAAAATTAAAATGACAATGTTTTTATCTGCGATTGTTCGTTCGTGGACGCAAACGACGGTAAATACTAAAAAAATGACGGTCCCAAGATAAAGTACTGAGAAGTCAGGATTAGCAAACCGCTAGCCTAAGGCGGATTCTCCGCCCGCGCACTTTTGAAATTTTATAAAATGTCAAAATACAGCGCACGTGTGCTTTCCTGTTGCAATTTTTGCAAATATTTGATGAAAATTTAACCGAAATACAAGACTACGAGAAATGTTTGTGTTTTGTCAACGTTTATGGGTCACTGTAGTTGCTGGTTGTAACTGGTTTGGCAGATATCGTTGAGTTTTTCCGCCTTGTGGCCCTTGTCGAATGTTGATGTTTTATTAAATAGCACTGGATCGTTTGAGATAGGTAGGTGTTCCGTTTATATTCCGTATTTTTAATGTTTTACTATTAACTATCGCTTTCTAAATATTCAAATCACTGTCAAACTGAACAAGTAGTTTTAGTACGATCAACTTTGCCGAGTTCTTATGCATGAGTCAATGTAAATCCCGACCTCCCCCACCCCGGGACAGGGTAGGGATTTGACTTTGACCTTGTTCTAATATTCGACGCAAATGCCCCATATCCTGGGAACTATCAAAGGTTCCGAATGTTGAAAAATGTCCCCTGTACCTGAGGCCTGAACACTGCTAAAACGGTTTACATTTCAAATAACTATGTATGGACTGCAATGAACTACTAGTCTACTATGAATTGCATTTGAAAAAGGTTTGGTACAAAAAGCACACGAAGCAAAGATAATACGAGCTAGACGATAAAAGTACATAAAACGTTACTTGAGATGAACAACCGCTGAAAAATCAACAACTCGCTCATTACTAATCCCTAGCCAATCCCTATACCCTGGGGATAAATAAATTCTAAAAGCTTCAAATCCCCCACCCTCTTGGGAGTGTTTTCTGATCTAAACCCCTACCAATCCCCTATTAACCCCCACCGGGGTGGGGGGGGGGAGATTTTACATTGACTCATGCATTATGTACAACAAATTTTCTACAACAAGTCTTGACAGTCTTTGCTAGCAAGTGTATACTTGGAACAAAACTTGCCATGTGTAACTCGCTCATCTGTTACCAGCTTTGTACTTTTGTTTCAGAGTATGAAATAAAGGTATGAAAAAATCCTCGAAGTGAAAAACTAATTTCATGTGGGGGGCATTATAAACAGCATGTCAGATGAATATATAACTGTGCTGTTCTTGCATATTTTGCCGAATACACTTGATGTGTATTTGAATATTATTTTAACTGTCAGTTTGTTAGAATTTCTATGTGGACTGTTTTAATAATTAAAATACTTTCTCATACAACAAGCAAACATTGACTTTTGAAGAAATTACTTTTTGCCATTTTTTCAAAGTTTTCTTATCAATGTAATTGTAACTGAATTGTAACAAGTGGCAGGGGCGCACATTGCGAAAATTTCTGGGGGGGGGGGGTGCCAAATTTTTTGGGACCGACTTTCATGGCTCAGTATCATAATAATAATAATAATAATAAAATCTTTATTTACCAATCCCCTATTAACCCCCACCGGGGTGGGAGGGGGGGGGGGATTTTACATTGACTCATGCATTATGTACAACAAATTTTCTACAACAAGTCTTGACAGTCTTTGCTAGCATGTTACACTACCTTTTCAACAAGTGTATACTTGGAACAAAACTTGCCATGTGTAACTCGCTCATCTGTTACCAGCTTTGTACTTTTGTTTCAGAGTATGAAATAAAGGTATGAAAAAATCCTCGAAGTGAAAAACTAATTTCATGAGGGGGCATTATAAACAGCATGTCAGATGAATATATAACTGTGCTGTTCTTGCATATTTTGCTGAATATACTTGATGTGTATTTGAATATTATTTTAACTGTCAGTTTGTTAGAATTTCTATGTGGACTGTTTTAATAATTAAAATACTTTCTCATACAACAAGCAAACATTGACTTTTGAAGAAATTACTTTTTGCCATTTTTTCAAAGTTTTCTTATCAATGTAATCGTAACTGAATTGTAACAAGTGGCAGGGGCGCACATTGCGAAAATTTCTGGGGGGGGGGTGCCAAATTTTTTGGGACCGACTTTCATGGCTCAGTATCATAATAATAATAATAATAATAAAATCTTTATTTAAACTGCATAATTGTGTCAGCTGACAACACGATGATCGCATTGATCGCTGGTATTAATACAGGTGCAGAAATCCTCTTTATTTCCTATCCACCCGGCGCCCGCTCCATCTCATTCTCAAAAAACTACCAGTTTACTGTTTAAAGACTAGAATCTAAAAATGATTAATAAACGCATTGGAGATTGCTCCAATTTGTACATGCAATAAAAAAAGGACACAGGCACCAAGAAGATTCGGAATATAGACTATTCCATTTTTGTAAGCATTTTTATTTTTGCATACCTTCTAAGATAAAAACCTAAGTATAAGTTCAAACCATTTAGCCGTTTTAGCAGAATTAGTGAACTACAGTTTGTAGAATCATCGATTCATCATTCCTGGTTTTTAATTCTAAAGTTCATTGAACCGGTCACGGTTTATCAAATACTAAATGGCCGGCAGTCTAGTGACTATAGTTGAATATAAAAACTTTTGTTTGCGTTAACTGTTACCGAGCTTGCCGTTAGCTCATACGGCAAGGGCGCTGCGTGCGGAAAGTTAAACGCAGTCGGGGTCGGGATGTGTTTTGTTTGACTTAGCATTGTTTTTTCTTAAAATTTTTTAAACTTTTTTTCCCGACTTTTCTAACTCTCAAAAGGTTAGGGTTAGGACTTAGGGGTTAGGGTTAGAAAAGGGTTTGGGGTTGGGGATAGGTTTATCTTATAAAAATTCAACTTTAACAATAGTCACTAGACTGCCGGCCATTTACTAGCATTTGATAAACCGTGACCGGCTGCCGGTCATATAGTCACTTCGATATTAGTAATATTACCCAACATTTGTCAGATGTTGTGTTTTTGCCCAACGATCCACAATTTCATCCAGATTAATCGAGTCTGTAATGTCAGTTTCGCATCCAAGCATCATCAAATTTTAAGTCTCGCTTGAAATTTAATTCTTATCCTTGCAGCAGAATCAAATTTTCTGCCTGATTCTGTAAATCGCATTTTTGTAGATTGTAGATTGTACAACATCTACCTATTCTATCTATCAATAGATACGGCCTACAGCCTACATGACACAAACCTTAGGCTTCACATATTTTACGGCATGGTCTGCCTACAAGACCCTGATGAGTATGTCCGCATGCACATAGTCTCAACCACAACAAGTGAATGGATAGATATACGAAATTAGTCGAAATACACAGTGAACAACATGGTCATGGACCACCTAAAGTGTGTGTGATGCCAATACACTGAAACACTAACAACCACAATGCCAATACAGGGTTTTTTTCAGGGATTTTTTAGGGCCGTAAAACGGCCCCAAAAACTCAATCTTGAATTGAGTTTTGAAACTCAATCTTCTCATCAAAAGATTTTGTGCAGTAAAATGAAGTCGTTTGAGTTAAATTCATGACGTGTGCAAATTAGTTTTCAGTTGAAATTAAGTAAAAAATGGCTGAAATTCATTTCACATCACAAGAAAAACAACACATTCGCCGTCTTAAACCAGTTTATAGTGTCCCTTCGCGCCCCTGCTTTAACACATTGCATTAAAATACGTAAATGGGAAGTCCTCAAATGTATTTAGAGTGAAGTTACAGAATACAGGGTTAAATAACAGTTTCGCAAAGTTTTGTATAAAAGGAAATAAATAAAAGTTTCGCAAAGTTTCGTAAAATCGCAACCGTTCGGTCAAAACTAAACAAAATAAGTGCAAGGCTTGTTCAGCATAGCCTCCGCTCCTACGAAATCTCCTACGGAGATGATTCCAGAATGCGGGTATCACCCACTCAATGTGGGTGAGTTCACATATTTGTATACAATATCTCACGGCATGATTCACTTTCCATACCCTGTGAGGATATAAGAAAATTGTTGACTAAATTCCGGTGCAGGAAATTACACAACACATTTAGGGCCTGTTCATATGATCCCGCTTGCCGGGACGTCTCGCTTACCGAGATGAATATTTCCGTGCGTTCATATGGAGTATTTCGTCCCGCTTGCCGAGATGAAATTACAATGTAGTTCTATAATTAGCGTTGCAAAACTTCTACATTTCAGTCAAGCAACACAAATACTTGGCGATTTTAGTGTTTTTCTTCGTTTATTTACAAGAAAAAGTATTGCTTCAGGTGGTTATTTAATACTTGTTTACAAAACAAACATAAAACCAAGTAAAAAGTGTTAAATTAAACCGGCAAGACTTGTTTCACTTCATCCCGGTAAGCGGGCTGGCGTGTTCATATGGAAAAATTTTCATCCCGCCTACCTATGATCTCGGCAAATTCAAACGAGATCTCGGCAAGCGGGCCAGCTCGCTTTCCCATATGAACACAATGCAAAATTTTATAGGAAAATAGATAGGCGGCGAGATCATCGGTAAGCGAGACGTCCCGGTAAGCGGGATCATATGAACAGGCCCTTAAAATAACAAGCGACAATCCGGTGTATAAGGGATATAAGCCCCTAAAATACACTCTGCTCCAGTCTGTTGCTCGGAATATTACCTGAGCCGGCCCGGGTTGAAAATTGCTGACCCGGGTTGGCAAACATGTTCGTCAACCCGGGTTCATGTAAACCGAATAAAAAATACAACCTGTGGCGTGCTGACCCGGGTTGAAAATCATCCTGGGCTCGTGTAAAGGGGGCCTAAATAGCCACAAACGAGAGGCCGGAGACTGGCAAGACACATGTAGAGGTCCTATTACCTATCCCAAAATTAAAATATGGCTAATTCAGCATAAGCATACTGAACATACCTAGAATGAATTTCAGAACCATTGACGCTTTCTCCGAGTCTTTACTAGTCTTCTTAGACTTTAGTGCCAACTATCCAGTATTTTCTTGATTTTACAATCCAGTATTTTCTTGATTAACGACTGCACAGTTTGATGTGCCAGTCGCCGGGTCAGACATATGAGACATTGTTAAAAGATAATGTCAAGGCTGTCTCAAAGCACTGCACCAATGCAGTTATATTTATATATAAATATGATAAAAAAACGATGAAAACTTTGATTTACCTTAATTATATAAATATATCTATCTAGTAGCCTATATCGGATGTTCGGGGACTGAATCTGGGACCGAACTGGTTATCTAATATGCATTTTTCAGGACCGACTTTCGACCGATTTTGAAAAGCTGGGGGTGTCACCCCCCCCCCCCCACACACACACACACACACACCCTAATGTGCGCCCCTGACAAGTGGTCATTCTGGCGAAACCCAAGACTCATGCACATTTTGCTCTGCTTCCCTTTGAGTGGAAATTTCTACCATATATAGCTTTTTATATTAAATGATTGTACCGATGATGATCAGGGCCAAAAGAATTTAAAGTTTTGTGAAAATAATTTGCCAATTTATATATTAATCACCCACAAATGAACTCAGCAGCCATTAAATGTATGTATCTATTCTAAGCAAGATACATATAAGCTATATAAATAAATTATTATATTATCTTTTTTCAAAGATAAAAGTTTGAAATGAGAGGTTAAAGTTTCAGAAAAACTATAGTATAAATTACAGTATTTTTTGAATTTATCACTACTGTGCGGCCAAATGCAGTCCTTGAAACTTCCGAAATTTCAGGTCGGCAAGAAATTGCCGACCTATTAAAAGGCGATAAGTCTCAATCTAGGTCGGCAAATATTTTCAAAACAAATAGAAAATATCCAAATGAAAATTTAATTTGCTTGCTGCAAATACATGTATTTATAAACAGCAATTAATTGCAATCAATGCCAATATAGCAAACAAAACAAATAACACAATTATGAACTCCAATCAAACAGCGCATGCATGTTGTGACCAAATGTGGTGACATACAAGTACACTACTTTATTACCATGCTATACTTTCTCAAGATTAAATTTTGAAGATCGACAATTTTAACACGTATGTTTACTTTTCAAAGTTTTCAAATGATCAAAACCTGATAATTAAAACATCATCGTTGAAAATGTGTATGTAAAAGATGCATTCGCGGAAAAAATGCCGAGGCGTATTTGAAAGTAGGTCGGCAAAATTTTGCCGACCTGCAAAGCGATACGTGTACATTTAGGTTGGCAAAATTTTGCCGACCTACTTTCAAATACCTTGCCGAATGCACCTGAGTTGCAAGGACTGCAAATGGTAGTCAGCGAATCCAGCATGGGAAATGAAATATGGGTTTGTAGACTACCAAATGCCTGGGTTCTTTCATTATACCATTATAAATATACATCGTGGTCCACACAACAAACTTGCCTCCACAGATATTTTCAGTGTTCTTTAACTTGAATGGACAAATAAACACATCACAAAATTCTTACATGCAGTAACCAGAAATTTATGAATATGCAACTGGTACTAGCACCTGAGCCACCCCACTTAAAGGGGCCCCAAAATTTGCAAAAGGGGGAGCCCTGAAAAATGTAATTAAAAAAAATAATTTGGAACATTTCTTATATAAGTCATGGTATAAGAGAAATCTTTTAGACCTTAATTTTGCTGGTATTTGTCCGGAAAATTTTTTTGAACTTTACTTTACTTGTATGTATTTGTCTGGAAAAATTTTTTTGAACCCTTTTTTTGGATATGTCTGGGAACATTTTATTACTCCCCCTAAATAGGGGCCCTGAATTGAAAATTTGCCCCAGGCGCCTGATTTTCTCTGTGCGGCCCTCAAAATTCTAACAGCAAAAGTGGTCACCAAAAACGGTGATTCAACTCAATTCTTTGACATTTCCGATGTAAAACTGTACATGCTTTGGTCGCTAAGGTTAGTTTTGGGGTTCCAAGTAATAGCATTAAGTTTTTTATTTTTATGTGATCTCATACGAGTCTTGCTTTCTGAATTGAATAGAGGACTAGTTCAGATTAGAGCAGGCTTATCGAGTTCATGGTTAGCTTATGGAACAGCATGTTTTTCCTTTCTTTGAGCGTGTCGATGATCCTTCATCAATCTTCATCAATCTTCTTTTTCCTGTCAATGCTGCTTCATCGGTTCTTAACCATGATTCGTGTCCCTGACGCTTAGCCATATCAATGGCAGAAAGCCCAGACGAATCTTTTAGATAAATGTTTGCGCTGTGCTGGATAAGGATTTGAACAACACGTTGTTTTCGATCAAGCCTTTCTTCTGAGAGATATGAATCATTATCATATCTGGATTCAAATGCATAATGAAGCGCAGTACGTCCATAAAAATCCTGTTGATTCACATCAGCTCCATGAACCAAGAGTAACGACACCACCTGTTCCGCCGTAGGTGAATACCTCAAAACTTCATTTAGCTTCTTACACGTTAGCATTAGGGCAGTTACTCCCGGACCTCCTCTGTTGCTTGGGTTTGCTCCATGTTTTAAATAGTCTTCTACCCTTTTTAGGTTTTCATCCGCTTTGTTTAACCGAAGCGTTCTTTGTAAAAGTGAGTGCCAGGCATACTTGAACTCCACATAAATCTTTCCATTTCTCAGAAGGCGTTCAATTTCTGAATAAGAACAAAGCATAATTATGTACATGTACAGGGCCGCCGAGAGAATTCGTGGACTTGGTGGAGAATTCACCAAACTAGATCTTATAACTAGACTGCATGTGGAGCTACTGTAAGGGGCCCTCAATTTCAAAAATACTCTGACCAATTTAAAGAACCTGCTCAATTTTAGGCTCTCGCTCTCAAGTTGGGGCCCTATTAAAGTTTGGACCCGGGGCAATTCCCCTCCGTCCCCTCTTGGCGGCCTTGTACATGTATACTGCTAACTATAGTACCATCAAGCTGCTCTATTTACTGTTCAGAGTACTTCGGATTTTCGGAACACTAATGGAATGGAACAGAAGACAGTCACATGGTGTTCTTTGCACACGGTGTTTTGGAACAGTGTTTGGTTTATTATATATGCGTGCAACCATGCGTTACTATAGTCATTAGTTATTCGCATAATAAATCATAATGATTTGTTGTTATTTGTATATCTAAGTATGCTTTTGCAACGTTTTTACTCGTTGATTTTGCCCAACCCTGCATGGCGTTGAAATAGCATATAATAAGTACCGGGTGTCCCAAAAAAAAGTACTCCGGTTTGATTCGTAATAACTTCTAAACAAGTAAAGCTTTTAATGAGAATTAACTTGCATCAAATAGAGGAAGGACTAACTTAGATTTTGATATATCACAGTTGTATTTCACTTAAAAATTCACAGAGATATTAATGTTTAAAATCGGGAGCATATTTCTGGATGTGTCTGAAATATGCAAAAACGGCGTATCAAATATTAATCAAGATTTGCCCGACTGAAACATGCACTATTACCAGTAAATAAATGGCACTTGACAAATCGTTTATTATGAAACAAAGTATTATTATCTACAAAATAAAAGCAAGACTTATTCGTCCGAAATCCGCATGTGTTCCCAGCACGAATACGTTTCCTTATTTCATGAGAACCACTGCATCGCGAAGGATCGTCATGGATCGTTCGTAGTTCTGAATTAGGGCATGCTGTCACAATGGAATTGTGGATTTTCTAACTTCACATTGAATGAATTTTCTAACTTCTTCAACGTTCTGAAATCTTGTTAAGAACACCCAAACTCTTTTGCCTTTTTTAATCTTGGCAAGTTCAGAATAAACTGAGAATGAAACACGATCAAACCATATACAACTCCATAATTAAAGGCATAACAAGCAATTCCCCAGAGACATCCAACATTTTTGGAACAAAACGTAACAAAATAGTAGCGTTGACACTGTGATGTGTATTTGCAAAAAGCAATATCATTTCCTTCATTAAATAATAATATTCATCCTGCTCTAACCGAGAAATAATCAACTTTGTTTTGAACCCATGTAAAACATAAAAAAATTAGGCTATTTAAGAAAAATTTAAGCGCCTGCCTTCAAGGTCTTTCATGTAACTTTAAGTTTGCAAAGCCAAAGACCTATTAAATACTTTCATAATTTTGAACGTCCATGTTTCAGGAAACAATGAGCTAAGACTTACATGTAAGATGTCTAAATCTACGCCATATATCCCTTACAAACCCTAACGACAATTCGCTGAAATACCAGTTAGCCAGATATGTCAATAAGCAAACAAACGCTGGAGTTAATATTTGATATGCTGATTTTCGCTAATTTTAGACACATCCCAAAATATGCTCCCGATTTTGAACATTAATATCTCCGTGAATTTTTAAGTAAAATACAACTGTAATATATCAAAATCTAAGTTAGTCCTTCCTCTATTTAATGCATGTTATTTCTGTTTCATAGCTATACTTGTTTAGAAGTTATTATAAATCAAACCGGAGTACTTTTTTTTGGGACACCCGGTATATGTCAATATATAGCAGTTAACCCTTCAAAATAACACTCAATGCAGTGTGCAATATTGGAGTACACAAAATCTGTCGCCTCCATTTCCAATCACGTGAAAATGGCAGTGCCACCTGTCTGTTCTGGCTGCCCCTAGCCCCCTACTCATGTGACTGTTCTGACTACCCCCGATTTTCGAGTAGGGGCCATTGAACTATAAATAAACTGGAAGGCTAACTCAGGGGGGGAAATTGAAGCCAGTGCATTTTAGTTTTTCTGAGTTATGAGCAGAAATACTCAACACTGAACGTTGGGCTATATATCAAATTGAAGCTATTGAAAAACGCTATTTGATGTAGAAATTTCAAGACTTTAGCTAAATGGGAAATATTGAAAAACTACAAACATAATTACCGATAATTTGCCGTTTTTCAGTTGTTTTTGTATTTTTTAATGAAGTCTTGAAATTTAATGAAGTTTTCGCTGAAGTCTTGAAATTTCCACACCGAATAGCAATTTTCAATAGCTTCAATTTGATATATAGCCCGACGTTTGGGGTCAAGTATTTCTGCTCATAACTCAGAAAAACTATTTTGGCTTCATCAAATCATAGGCCTTAATCATAGCAGTTAGCCTTCCAGTTTATTTATAGTTCAATGGTAGGGGCAGCCAGAACAGGCACGTGGCATTGCAGCCATTTTCACGTGATTGGAAATGGAGGCGAAAGATTTTGTGTATCCAATGCACTGTTATTTTGAGTGTTATTTTGAAGGGTTAACTGCTATTTATTTTTCACCCTGCTCGGTTTCCTTTGTTCTTATCGGGCAATATATTCAATATTCCCCTCTAATCAATTTCCGTTTAATAATCCCCTCTAATATTCACCTGCAATGTCTTTGCAGCATAAAAAATGAGAAAAAAAAACATCATAACGAAGGCAATATGGAATTAAGAATTATTTCTAATATTCTGACTCATTAACGCGACCTCGCAATGTGAAAAATAAGTACGTTATTTTGAGGCACCTCGGGAATATGTATTTATTTATTAATAAATCACATATCCCCTCGTTGCCTCAAAATAACCTATACTATTTACATGTACTTATTATATGCCGCTATTTCAACGCCAGGGTTGGGCAAAATCAACAAGTAAAAACGTTACAAAAGCATACTTAGATATACAAATAACAACAAATCATTATATGATTTATTATGCAAATAACTAATGACTATAGTAATGCATGGTTGCACGCATATATAATAAACTAAACACTGAGCACCGTGTGCATTCCATTTCATATCGTTCCACAACAGTGTTTCAAATGTTCTAGAACAGTAAATGGAGCAGCCTGCATATAATATAATGTACCTCGTACAGAATATACATTAACACTATCAGAGAGGTGTCCGTTTTAGAGAGGTGTCTCTATTAGGGAGATATTCATATTAGAGAGGTATCCATATTAGGAAGGTAGGCTACCTCCACACTAATCCGTTTTTGAATCCTATCGTTTTTGATATTTCGAAAACGCATACAAATATCTGCGTCCACAGTAGCGTTTTCGGAGCGTTTTTTACCGCACTAGCACTTAGAAAACGATAATTTTGTATCATTTTCGATCATTATTGATTTTTCCGTTATTCATGCAAAAATCTTACAAGAAGGCCTGGAACACTTTTACGGAGAAAAAGACAAATTTACCGAGGTTGAACCTAAAAACGTCGCCGATAATAGAGCTTCTATAGTGGCTTTACAATCTCAGAAATAAATTAACTGATTACCTACGACATAGTGTAGAGCATTATGTTGTCTTTGCAAGTTACGCTTGCAGATTAATCATCATTATCTCCAGTGCAAGACAAGCAATTCGTCTGAAATTCGGAAAAAACAACACACTCACCACGCATGATTGTGTTCATGCCGTCCGCGTTTTTGAAAACCTTCGTTTTCGCCCGTCCACATGCACTAATCTAATATATACGCCCGCGTTGTCTCCACGTACTTTCAAAGTCGTTTTCGAAAAGCTCCGTTTTCATTGATGAAGGCATCCGTTTTCCATCGTATCAGTGTGCAAGATCGGCGAAAACGCGTCGGCAAAAGTATACATTTGGAAACGAAAACAGATTAATGTGGACGGCGGTACATTGGAAAGGTATCCGCATTATTATATCTAGAAAGACGTTGAGATTAAGGAGGTGCCCGTTTAGAAAGGGGTTCGCAGCAGATAATTGGGTCTGCATCATGTACGGTTTGATTCTTCATGTTACCCTTCTCTCCCCCAGGGATTTATGTATTCTTTATTCCTAAAGTGTCAATTCCCCACCCCTGGGCAAGTAAAGAAAAGCCAATTCCCCTCCCATGGGCAATATTGCACACGAACACGTTATCAAAATTTCACGAATGTCGACATTTGAAAGGCATTCACTAAGCGATAGAACGTGTTTACTCGGGCTGTTAAAGGCGATGTTAGTACAGTGTTAGTGCAAGAAAAAACAATTGGAGTGCAAGTGTGCCGGCCATGTTTTGCATTCTTCTACGAGTCCTAAAGCCCCTCGGCCGTGAACATGTGCAGCTCGTTAGAGCATTACACCGGAATAGCGTGAACATACTGTATCTGTGAACATATTTGTAATCATTACCTGAAAGAGGTTTCTGAATTATCTCCAATGTAAATTCCGACACTTTAGCTTCTTTTGGACAAAATGGCTTCTCTTTAAGGGATTCCAAAGTGATAACATTCTTTTCTACTGACTTCAATTTTCTAAAATACTCTTGGACATCTTCGTTCCAGCAGATGGACGAGTTGAAGTCCTTGGTGTTCTCAAAGAATTGAGGAACACATACATCCGCCGTTAATCCTTTGTTTACACAAAATTCAAATATCTTAACGCGAAAGTTAAAATCCACGAGGGACGAAAAGAATAACTGGGGCATTGATTCCTTTGGGACGAGCTGTAGTGGTTTGATACGAAAGTTCAAGCGAAACATAGTGCCATCACTAAAAATCCAGTATGTGCGGCTATCAAACAACTTGGCAGTAATTCTTGCATAACTCAAGAAAAGAGCCAGCTCAAGATGTTCAGCTTTTTCCTGTATGGTCATTTTATTCAAAACATCTGTTTCATCGAGAACTTTCATTGCCATATACTCAGAACAAATGAAACGATCCCAACTGTCATCACTCCAGTGAAATGCGGCATGAAGAAGGTCGATTGCTTTAATACCTAATTCAGATATCAGAACATTCACGTTTGAACTTTCGCTCTCACTGGAATGAAAGAGATAACGCAAAGAAAAGAATTTGAGGTCTAGGAAAGCAGTAGGATATGGCTTTTTCGCACGAAAACATAAATTTTCAACAAAATCGCCGGGTGAAGGATACTTAACTTTAAGAGTTTTCAAGTTATATTTTGCCATAATGGAGTGCCCGTTGAGTACATCGCAAAAGAAATCTGACTCTTCGTCTTGCAACCAATCTCCTACAGAACTATGGCTGAAATAATATGTACCAGAATCATCCTTTACTAAGTAGCCTGATAAAAGTTTGACGACTTTATTGAGATCATGCGTCTTAATTTCAGGTAGCAAACCACACTTCACAACCCCTGTAACACTTTCATCGCTCTCCTGATAAGCCTGCTGAATCTTCTGTAAGTGAATAATAATATCATTATCTTTAAGAGATGAGTCAATTTTTCCCATACCTATTATACGCATTTCTTTACGTAAAAAAGCCTTAGCAGATTGAATGGCAAGCACAGTCTGAAGCACAGGTGCAACTTTTTTCTCAAAGAATTCTATATCCGGAATGCGACGTTTGAAGTCCAAGCAGTAAATCTCACATAACGAGGCAGGCAAACCAATTTCATCATGGCCATCAAAGATGTGTTCCATCACAAGTTTAGCATAAAGAAAGCAATTCTGACTAGCCTGAACTATTTTCTCTTTGCCTACCTGCTCGTCATTAGCAAAGAAAGAAGGAATATAGTTATATTCAGTTTGAAGTTTTCTGTACTTCATGGAGACAAAATCACAAATATCTTTGCTAGACAGAGACTCAGGACCAGTCTCAAATTGGTCTAGTTTAGCAGAAGTGGAATTTAAAAAAAGGCCTGATAGAGCTGGAGCATTTTGTCTTGCAGTCAAAATGACGCGAAGCCACGAAGGAAGTATTCCTGATAATCTGGCAAGGCAAGAAGCAATCATGGACCCTCCTTCATCTAAGCCGTCAATGACAAGAAAATGTCTGGTACTTTCATTCAATTGCTGCAATGGCGTGGTAATTAACAAATCGAACAGTTTATTAGGATCATCTCGAAATCGACCAGTCTGTAGTTTCTCAACCAAGGCAGCATATTTGGGAAGACTGTTCGAGAGCATACTCCTGAGACTATAGATTAACGATTTCAAATCGCAGGTGCGAGGATTATCTTTTTGACAGTAATGGTATCCAGCCAATTTCTCTCCCTCATGCCGACGGACAAACTCTTGGGCGAACGAGCTTTTGCCTGTTCCAGCACTACCCCAGATAAGGAAGGCACGAGACTCCCGAGGCCCGAGATCTTTTTCTAACCAGTTGCCAATGTCACTGAATAACCACTCACGACCGACAAATTCTTCCTTCATCCGATCAGAGACTGGATTGAACTTTAGCTCCTGCTCCACGTCACAAATCCTTTGCTGCGACTCTGCTAAACATTTTTCTTCTAGCTTTTCCAGCCGGCAGTTGACAATTTCCAGAGCGTCGTGTAGTTCGTTATTTTTCACAAATTCATCCAAACCTTTTATCTGATCATTAATCTGCTCCAAGTCCGCTCCGACTTCATCTTTCCAACAGATGATATCACTTTCCAAACTGACCATATCCTGATCAAGTTGTTGTTGTAACTGAACGAATAATTCCAATTCTTTTTCTTCAATAACTGCTAAACCAGTATTGAGTAAACTACTAAGCTTTTTTATGGCGTCTTGGACATCTTTGTCATGATGCATTTCTGGGTCTTGAAGAAGAGAGGTTAAGGATGCAAACGCGTTGACTTTATCAGCATCACTTATATGCAGCAACGGTGCATGCGCCCAAAGATTCCTGGCACTTCTTGCATCTGCTATTTTCGAAAGATCGACACCTGTGTTGAACAAACCATTTGTCCCTCTCGGAGACCATTCTACTACATTCAACAATCCCGATATATCAGTAGTTTTGGCGTTGACTACATCAAGCTTTCTCGATCCCAGGGGAGCCATGAAAATCTTAGCAATCTCCCATGACGCACCAACGGTCAACCACTGAGTGTTGTCACTGTTGCTCCAGGATATTTTTCTTTTATCACGTGATCGATGGGCATTCTCCAAGTGAGATTTCCACGCATGTACATTATTTGACAAAGCTGCAAGCAGTGATGTGTGGTACTTGTCAGCAGCATTTTGAATTATGGTTTCTAAGCCGTTCCGGGTAATCTGGATTGCTCGACCAACAGTAACCCAGTTTCTATATTCGGGATCACTCAGTCTACTGTGAGCCATCACTATTTGTTTTTAGCCTTGAAAAAAATGCATTAGTATATTAACCTCCTCCGCAGGCATCTGGAACAACATGTCTAAAGTTTCTACAATATTACTTTTGACCATTATGATACTTTTTCTACTGGGTAACCTATATTTAATCAAGAAAGTCTGCTCCAGTGATAAAACAGAAACAGTAATTACTAGCAGCTAAAGCGGTCTAAATCCTGAGATTTCACGTTGGCCACCATATTGAATTTAAACGCGGCGGAGTCTGAGATCTACCTTCGGAATACCTATTAGTCGATTGATTTATTCGGAATTTTTGTCGAACAGTCAAAGTGCTAAAACGTGTAACAAAGAAATTTTACCAAGCATTTGTTATTGTTTGTATTAATTGTATTAATTCACCATAATTGATCATATCTATTGAAGTGGCTACCAATTTCTTGCTTTAAGTTGTTGGTGGTAATGTCGCCAAATGTTAAGGGTTCGTGCAAATTCGATTCCTGCCAGAGAGCCCATAGTTGCATTTTTTGCAACTCCTGCTGCTTAGGTCTAATAAATGTATACCAATCTACAAATCTCTTCAACAATTACTTATATCAAGTGAGATACTCAAAATCCTTATATTGACCCATGCATCTTACATTCACGTCACGTTAGTATTTATACATGAACTTGTGGCTAGAGCTCGATGGTACGAAGCGAAAATAACTATACAAAACGATAAACGATCTACTCGATTGAACTAATTTACTTGAATATATTACAAAAACTATACATACATACTGCTTATCACACAACTCATATGTAATTCAAATTGTTCATGTTTACTACAACAATTAATCACGCATTCCTTCTGTTCATACCCCCCTCCTTGACGTACTTTGTATCGTCAATGATAGGAGATTAATTACACACTATATACAATTATTTACAGTTAATCATAACGTAATGGACATAGTTTTGTTATTGGTCTAGTCAGTTCCTGTTGACCAACTTGCACTCGAACGACACGTGTATGTCCATCTTTGCCAGGAAACGTTTTTATCACCCTGCCAATGGGCCATTTTGCTCTAGGCGTATCTGGCGACATCACTATCACAAGATCATCTTTCTCGATATCTCTCTGAGGGTAAAACCACTTTTGTCTTCTGTTTAAACCCGGAATCCATTCCCGTAACCATCGATGCCAAAAATATCGAACAAGTTCTTGAACTCGGCGCAAAATTTCCACCCATCTGCCCGATCAAAAAATGATTTGTGGTCGATGGTGTTTCATCTTTAGGATTGGCACTTTGAAAAGTCAGAGGGCGTGAATTTATCAAAGCTTCTGCCCCGACGAAGGCAGTGTGAAGTTCTTCATCTGTAATGTCCGCGTTACTTAATATTGCGTACACTGCTCGCTTTGCAGCCTTTATCATAGTCTCGTGAACACCACCGAAATGTGGAGCATACGGAGGGCTGAAATGCCACTTTACAGCTTGATTGGCTGTCGAAACTTGAATCTTTTCTACATCCAGCTGCTTTACCAACTCTCTTAGTTCTTTATCTGCTCCGATGAAGTTTCCTCCATTGTCCGAAATGACTTCGTCAGGTAATCCTCTTCGACTGACCATACGATAGAATGAATTTAGAAAGGAGTCAGTGTCCATTGCATCAGCGATGTACACTGAACGTGAACAGCCCTTGTTGATAAACACGTAAAAAGTGAAAGATAACGTTTTTGTCTGCGTTTTCCCCGACCTTGAATCGTCGAGAAAGGACCTGCAAAATCCACTGCAGTTTGTGCAAACGCACGCATCGTCATACGTAGTCTTATATCAGGAAGTGGAGCCATCACTTTTGCACTCTGCACACTTGTTCTCCCTAGCCTGCGAACAGGCTCTCAAGCTGAATTGAGAGCCTGCATCGATGACTAATGAATTTGAATATCTGCCCCGTAACGTTCGTTTTTCCAAATATGGAATGTATATCCTTATATGGTGTTGTTGACAACTTTCGTGCAAACTAAATTTAGACCGTGCAAACTAAATTTAGACCGTACAGTTTATACTGTTTTTCGAAATATAAGATATTCAAGCAATAGTTCAAATGTTTTAAATACTGTTTTCTCAAAACAGAACATTTCGTGCTTTGAGATAAGATGGCCAAGACCAATCTGATCAGTTAATGTGTTTTTTATGCATGGTGCTTCAGCAGTTGACATATATAGAGCTCAGCGGAAACATATAAATTATAGCATCTGACCAATGAGAATTTCGCGTCACGATTTGAAACGCAGATATTCAAATTCATTAGTCATCGATGCAGGCTCTCAATTCAGCTTGAGAGCCTGTTCGCAGGCTAAAATCTGCTAGGCTCTCTCGCGCTGAAGCGTTCCGCACAGCACACCCAGGCATAAAACTTTTAAGACTTATTTAAATATATCAAAGCAGCGATTAGAGAGAGAGCCTGGGACTAGGCTGACTTTTTACCCACTGAAACCCAAAGTTTGGGTCACATTAGCCTGCTCGCAGACGTTGTATTTCTTACGCCAAGCGACGAAAAACTAACGTCTGCTGACTGACCCAAGCTACACATTCAATTCCCTTTGTTTTAGGAACGAAATCATCTGACAGTGTTCACAAGAGTTAGAGCCAATTGGAAGCCGCCTTAAGGCTAGTTTATTATCCGTGAAAACTAGCCTTAGCTACTTAGGGATTAGCTACTGGGGAAAGCCCTCGCACATGGGAATATATTGTTTGGGTTGAAATTTGTTTGCTTGCGTGGATATATTTTGGAAACTATAGCGTTAAACTTCACGATGTTTACGTAGAATAATATTGTGATCATCTTCTCGCATGTTCTGTAAACAATCGGTGCATATAAAATGCAAAAGCAATGCAGTAGGCGAAATTTAAATTTTTGATAACAATGACAAACAAGCAATCGGGAAACTCGGGTAAAAGTATAGCCAAGTTAGAGTATAAATTAAACGTTTCGAAGTTTGGGCGAATTGGAAAATTCATCTCGGCGCAATTACAAGTTTCAAGGATTTGTGTTGTGATTACAGCTAGTTTACATTGGTTGCTCAAACAGCAAGTTAAAGCTAATATTTCGCTTTCTAAGCCACAGTATCATACAAAATTTTCCGTCTTCTGAGTTCTGTTGTCTTAAAGATAAACATCCGTCAAAATATCCGTCAAAACATCCGTCGTTTCAGCGAAATATATTCGGCATTTGATGCTGCCTGTCCTAGATTTATACAGTATAGTGCAATCCTGTCCGCGTTTTAAATATACCGGTAACCGAACATCTTCGTTATCCGAATCTGATCATTAATGGTGCATTTTATTACCAGGACAAGTATCAATATCTTTAAATTCAATTTATGTACAATTTTGACCAAAATTCATCCGAAGACTGCTTTCAAAATATTTATTTATATTTATTCCGCTCCTAAATCAACTGACGTTAGATAGAAGGTTTCCTGAAATTGGTCAATCTGAGGGAATCCACTCCCTCATGCAGTTTGGGTCGGTAAACGTTAGTTTTTCGTCGCTTGGCGTAAAAAATACAACGTCTGCGAGCAGGCTACGTCACATATATACTTTTTTAAACTGAATACAATATAATCAATACATATGCATGCTAGCCTGAATATCAGGCCAAATTTGCCCTTCCTTTAATGTGTGTAGATGGAAGAGGACGACAGCATAGAGATTATAAAAGAATAGAGTGGGCATTGTAGGAAAAGTTTAGACAAACGAAAGGGACAATTGAAACTGTTAATTCAGCAAATTCGGTTATACCCGGATGTAAAACCAAGAAAATTTATTTAGTTTTCACCTTTTTGGCCACAATTCAAGTATTCAATACTAGAATGATTAACAGTCCTATTTTTCATTATTTGTGGCGAGGTATTGAGAAATTTCCGTTGGACATTTGGACGCGCCAAAGTCACTATGATAGCCGCACTTCAACATCGAAGAAAAGCACTTTAAAACATTTCTAAAGAATTTCTGAAATTTGTAAAGAAATTACTGAAATTTGTCCCCAACTGGAAGCTTTAATTTGTCCCTCGATTTTTCCCTTAAGGATTTTGTCAGGCTGTATTTGTAAAATAGGCTATATGCAAGCTCCTAACAAGCTCTAGCTAGTTATTTTAATTTTTCTGTTAAAATGAGTATTTCCCTAGTTTCCCCACCACACTCGATTCATTTCACAAGTTGTTTAGTATTCATTATCAAATCATTAATCTATCGTTGACAAAATTTAACAAATATGAAGATCAATGTCCGTACAGTAATTTTGATAAACATTCCGCCTTGATTAATATATTTTCGTAGTTCAACTTCCTCTAGCAAAACAGCTTATCTCCTTAATTTAATTTAAAGAACATTCCATAAACATTAACATTATAGACCCCTTCCAATGACATCGTATATAACTACAACTATACCAAAATTAAATCAAAGTATGTATGGGATAAAAACCTGGAAAAACAGATGCAATATGGTGTTTCAAGTAAAAATGTGGAAATTTTAAGTGTCGGACTCGCACCGTTTTAGAGTAAGACAGATACGTAACTGGTCACGTGACGCGAACAAACCACAAAAACAAGTAAAGGAATTATTTGGCATAGCCTCCTCCGCAGGCCTCTCTATGGGTTCTAGCCTGCGAATGGGTTTGAAAAAAAAATTTTCTGGGAGAGAGGCCTGCCATAAATCGAACAAAATAGACGTATCTCAAATATTAGTGGCCGTGTTACGTTACCCCACCCCCTAAGTAGGCTTTTGACCCTAATTATATATTCAGTTTGAAATCTTCGGGCGAGGAGCGAAACTTGCGAGTATTAACTCAAAAATGTTTTAAAATGCATCGAAATATTCAAGTTATACGAAAATTAGTTGGTCAATTGAAATGATTATATATCGCAATGTCTCTCGCGGTCTAAAAACGACGGGCAAATTTAACTGAATCGCTCGCTCGAAGCAGCCAAATGTTTACAATGTATCAATTGTTCAGCCGAGGAACTACAATTTGAGGAAATTATCTGGCATAATTTCGAACGCAAAACGAAGAATGGAACGATACGAAAGGTATAATTTGTTTAAAGGTAGGTTACAGTCGCATCTGCGCATGCGCTGGACTTTGTTTACGTTTTTTGTTTTGATCCACATTAATTATATAAGATGAAGTATATGACGAGTTCAAAGTAACATTCCACATGATAATTTGTGACCGAGGAGTGCAATGTTTTACAATACTTCGCTGCATTTATTGTACATTTCTACACTGGAAATTTTTGTACACAATAACACAATCTTATACTGTAACTCTTTAACTGTAAACATTGTGAATAAACAGGCCGCTTTGAACCTTGTGTGACTTGCTATATACAACAGCTGGGGCGGCGAACCGAAATCCCGAAGGTGTGAGTTCGAATAATTTGTGTTTAGTGTTTACCTTTGGAGTTTGTGTCTAATCACGAAAATAGTTCATGTGGTATCAATCGCTCGAAACATGTTGCCAGAGTTGTTGTTGTCATTATGACAGAAGCACTTGGGGAAAGCTTTTCGCTTGACGAAATTCGAAACAAGTGTGATTGAGAATGTGGCTGCAGTTCCTGTCTTCGTGGCAAAGCCAAGAGCGAAATTTTTGACCGTACAAAAGCTGGATAAACAGCTTTTGTTCAAGCTGGTGCGCGCTATGGAGATAATTTTGGATGCTGTTTTAATATAAACAACAGAAGAGTTCAATAGATTGACAGTGACAAGAGTACGAGACGCTAAGATTATATTCAACTTTTTTGTGTTATAAAAATGTATGTTTTGAAATTATGAACTGGAAGTATGGATTCATTGATATTACTCTCATATTGACACTAAATGATGATATTCTTGTGACACTGAATGATCTAATATTAATAGCTTCAACAATTCTGGTGATCAGGTTACTTCATCATGTCTCTTCAAGACGGAGGACAATTGCTAAATATATGCTTGTTTCGCTCTATATCAGAGCTCATCAGAATGCCCAGGAAACACTGATGAAATTTTGATTTACATCAACGAATCTTTCTTTTTTTAACAGATTTATTGGGTTATATGGTAATATATATATACAGACATTAAAGGAGAACTCCAAGGGGTAAAGCACAAACATGACTCCAGGGCTTTATTTATAGCCTTTATATGCCCCCGCAGAATACTGAATATAGCTACTAAATATAATTACAGTTTGTAACATGAACAATCAGATAAGCACCATTTACATCAGGGTCTGAAATTTATATTTTTTCTCAGTATCCAAAGGGGATACCAGGATTCAAAGTTTAGTATATCCTATCCCATCCAAATAAGTTTCCATAACACTCACTGTTACAAATTACAATAACAACTGAGGAGACTCTACAGTCAACAACAAATAAACAATGAATCCACACCTTCAACAAACTTCTATATGCTAGTCCTCATTGAGGAAAGACTGGTGGTAAACTGATAATATTCAAAAACTTTCAGGAGCCCATCAAAGGAAATTTTTTAGTATCCAGTCAGGATAGTATTATTCATAATTTGGTATCCAAAACCAAATTTTTGGTATCCTATGGATATCGGGATACTAAAATATATTTCAGACCCTGTACATAAGAACCTGTTTAAGCTAACTTGGAAAAAATCTAGGTTCTTATTCGCAGGGTTTTACTGTGTTGTCTAATTTTGTCCCAAAACAGACCATGCACGGCAGCCTGTTCTGCCAACATAGATAATGGGATGGTGCCACTCTTTGTGACACAAAATCAGGCAATTATAGTACAATATGAACTGGCAAGTGTCTGGCACCTTAAAATCAGATTCCTTTGTGTAGATGGAGCTCATAAGCCTTGGCTGGCAATCCATCTAGGAGAAAGAAAGCTCTGATTTCAAACCCCCAGACCCCACTTTTGGACAAGACATGTATAGTAACTATATCAGTCATGATCATCTAAAAATGCCAGTATATATGCACTTATACAAAGCTGTATGCACTGCAAAGCTACACTTTATTTATCTCAATGACATTTTCAGGGTTCTGGATCATTTTCATTACTTTGTGAAGAGTTTATTCTCTTTGATTTTTATACATTTTTAGATCTGACTGGTCTCCATGTGATAAAATATGAACCTGAAATACTAGCCTAAACAGATTGGGTGTCTAAATACTGAAAAATTAGCCTGACAGGCCCTTATGCAGGTTCTTATATGCAAGCTTTTACTTACAATTAGGGTGGAAAATATACTTACTAGTAATTATTAGTTGATTTTGTTTACATCATAAGTATTTGTGATCAAAATCTTTTATAAACTAAATGTCTTAGGGGTGTTTACATGGAAGCAAGCCAGCCCAGTTACCTGAGCTAGGTGGCTTTGCCTAGCTAATTTCATCATGTAGCAGGCTGGCACCAAAACAAATCATCGCGAGAAACTGTCATGGTTATGACCGTCACAACTGTTCACAGAGGCATTAATTTATAAAATTATAGATCAAACATCTGTTGAGAAAGTCTTATTTACTACAATTAGTACAATATATTCGTATTGAGCGGCTTAGGCAAACCAACCAACCTAGGCGAGATCTGGGGCTCTGTCGGGCTTCACAAATTAAACAAGATCTTGCTTAGGCAAGCAAGCCTGGTTCTCATATACACACAATACGAATATTAGTATAAATTATCTAGCAACATTAGATCTCGGCCAAGCAAGCTACCTCAGGCACCCGAGCTGGCTTGCCTCCATATAAAAGGCATTTAAACTGTTATGTGTTTTGATCAAATTAAAATCTACTTTAACTTTGATCAGAGAAACTTTTTGATGTGTTTCTATTAAGTTTTAAGTGAGCACAAGTTGTCCATGAGCAGACAGTCAAAGACAGTAAAGCACTGCCACAGCCAAGTAGATTATCACTCTGACAAGTGACAATAACACGTCTATATAAACAGCCATTCAAAAGTCCCAAACATGTTCACTCCAAATTGTTCATTATTTTTTCATCGACAACTCACTAGTCTCGAGTATCATATCTTTAGGCCTTTATAATTATATTATGGGTTTCAGTTTGTAAACAGAATAGATAAACAGTTCGTATATATTAACGATAGGGGTCATTCCATTTATTATCCGCACCCCCCCTATGGATGAGCTCTGGTAAAAATGTTACCTGTAGGAATCTGATTTCAGAGAAGTACCCTGTTGGAATCGACAGTATCAATCTAAACCCTAGGAATGCTGCTAATTGCCAATATCTCACTGGTAGGAATCTGCTAATTGCCAATATCTCACCGGTAGGAATCTGCTAATTCCCAATGTCAGACCGGGGGGGGGGTGAGGATAATAAATGGAATGATTATGATTCTCATAATAAATATTTGGCAATATAGTATGCTACACCTCGACGGCAATATCTGACCGGTAGGAATCGGGCCGAAGGAATCTGCTAATTCCCAATATCTGACCAGTAGGAATCCCCTAAGTCCTAATATCTGACCGGTAGGAATCCGCTCATCCATAGGGGGGGTGCGGATAATAAATGGAATGACCCTAGTGAAATAGCTAGTGTAATAAAGAAAATTTTATAGTCATTAAAACCTCGATTGATGGGCTTCAACAAGCGATTTCTCTGAAGGATCAACATTGCAGCTATGTTTGGAGCAATCTCCAATCCTTCTAGGATTCTTTTCTTGACAACCTTTGGTAGAAGCTTGAGGATGCAGGTATATCATGGCCATTCATGGGCAGACGCAGAAATGGAATGCGCTCTCCATCGAGGAAAACAATAAAATAGATACACTTTGATACACTTTCGAAGCATCCCTGTTAGCGTAGTATCCTTTCCTACTCTTCATGTTGCCTCAATAACTCGTTATTTGACGGACTGTCGCTCAAAAAAGCTCAAAATATTTTGGAAACTTCTTCGCTCCTTGGGCATTAAATTCAATTGCGATAAAAACAACGCGCGTGTTATTGCCAGAAATGAGACTGGACCGAGCACAAACAGAGGATGACAACTTCCTGTGTGTCCCCACATAAACAAATGTCCAGCACATGCGCAGATGCGACTGTAACCTACCTTTAAGA